GCGCTTTATTATAATTTGCTGCATATTTGTATTATGTTTGTAATAACAAAAACAAACAATACGAACAGAAATGTTTTTGTAATAATTGTAGTTTGTTATTTAAACAAAGAGTGTTTTAGAGAATTTAATTTGCCTCTATACTTTTATGCAAATCGTTGCAGTATCGTTTAAAGTAATATATAAATAAAAATAGTCTAAGACAGAATACGCGCTGCTTTTTCCACCAGCATCTGGACAGCTGCGTGTCACAGCGACGTTTGGAATATGATCACATCCCTGTGATGCTGTCAGCATGAGGAGGAGGGGACGCATCTGCACTCTGCAGCTGTGCAATCTAACACTTCTCTCAGATATTTATATATATATATATATATATATTTTTTTTTAAACACTTCAGATTTAGCTTGTCAGCAATGATGCAATTTTCAAAGTGTAATCAGAACACTTCTTTAATGCAACCCCCTGGCAAGGTACTTTTTAAATTTGATACAGTCCATAGTTCATTAATAATCCCTTTGTAAACCTTTTCAGCTTACTGTCTGCCAAGGGTATACAAAGGGATTTTTTTTTTAATTCAGCCCGTGGGAGTGGAAAAAATGCATGCTCTTTCTGATGATAAAACCATCTGCTGCTAATGCAGGGGAAGACAAGGTGAAGAGACGTTTGCAGCATAACTTTTAGACACAGACGGATTTGCCGGATTTGCCACACATTCCCATCACTAATTAGGTCTAGTTTGACAAACCAAGCTTCAAGCAAACCAGTCTCTGCCTTGAGTGAGAAGAAAGACGCTGTATCAAAAAAAGGATAAACGCTCCTTTGGAGAAGAATGATTGCAAAACAGCTGTAATTGAAGGTTAAACAGTGCCGCAGCCATGATTACAAATGCCACAGACCCCATTATAAATCTCTCTGGATTGCTCTCTGCTTGTGTTTGATATGTCTCTCTAGCTCGCAGGTTCTTGTAACCAAATGCTGTGTGCTCTTTCGAAAAAAATTGGGTATATGCACCAGGTTCAGTCTAACTTTCTGTTTAACTTTTAGATTGTTTGTGATGTCATATCATTAGGCCTTCACACCAGTGACATTTTTAGCACCCTGCCTTCCCAAAATAGTGGTTTTAAGAGGTGTTTATAACCCAGCGATTAACTGACAGCACTATATATGTAAAATAGGCATACAAATACTGCTTGTTGCTTGTTTGCACTACTCTGAAGAGAGAGAGAGAGTTTAGCGCTCCCTCTTTCCCTGAGCTCTCAGACTCTGACATGAAAACAACACACTACGCGCCTTCTTGACAGCCTCCTTCCTGTCAGCGGTCTGCAAAACAAAATGACTGTAGACATTTTAACAATAGCTAATTAAAGCGCTTGTTTATTAAAAATGCACATTGTCGCTTTTAGCCATTCTCTTAGATGGTCCCAAATTATTGTTTTCGCATGCATAGGTTGATTGTAACTATCAATCTTTCATTGAAACACTGTGAATTGTCGCCCCGGTGCGTTTGTAGCCCACATACTTGATTCCCTAACTAGTGCTTTTGTCATTTCGACTATAGACATTCACTTCAGATTGCCGGGCACTGAGCCAAGACAGAACGCAAGAGAGACTCTTTCCTTTATCTGCGTGGTCCAGCTGTTCTCGCTGCACGGCAAACAAAGTGAAAAGGGAACAAAACAAGCACAAGCTTTAATTTCCATTCCTTTTTCTGTGCGTGGAAGCGAATGGTAATGTGAAATTGCCCAGAGGCATTGAATACAGGTAATGGAGTATCTCTGCCTCGCTCACCTGAAATAGATGTTGTCTTGTTTACAAGAACACTGTTGATTTTGCAGTTAGAAGCGAGCTGGAATGTGCTTTGTAAATAACTGAATCAGAATGATACAAAAAGACATGTGGACAGCCGGTGAGAGAAGGTAGAGTGTTTCTCGTCTTCAGGTGATAGCGTATAGCCTACTCTGGGGTGGTGATATTTTGCATGAAACCTGCACTTTTGGTGTCTCAACTGGTACAGAGCCTACAGGTTATATGACCTCAGTCGGAGGATGCAGATTAAGTGTTGCCTGCACACACATCACCAATGGGCTGAAATTTACAAGAAAGCCATAAAAGGACGAGGAGTAGACCTTCTCCCCTCTGGCTTTCTGACTAATGCATCACTCTGACAGGTTCATGTCCAGACATGCCAGTGAGGGTCACTTTGAGTGAGCAGCATGTCTGTAAACGGGAGGTGGTGATGGTTCTGTGAACACAGGTAAATATATCTGAGGCATGCTTGATAGTCCAGTTGGGTTCATTCCTTTGTTACAAGCAATTAAAGGTGCTGAATCCCTCCATATGCACTGACATAATACACATAATAAATCAGTACACATAAGAAACAGGTTTTACTGAAATCTGTTCCCGTTAGTGCTTCTTATGACAAAAATATTGCATAGTTTAAGAGTATGATTATACTGCTATCCTATGTTTAAGCCTAAACCGCTTGTTCAGACATTCCACAGTCAGTTAAGAATGAGATTTAAATGATGACTTCAATCAGACCACATTTGGTCATTGTTAAAGTCAACATTAGATCAAAATGAATGCAATTTACTTGTTTTGTGCATGTTCGGATATATTATATTCGGAAATATCGTATTCAGACATTTTTATGTGACTTTTATATGACTTCTTTCTTTTGGATTTCTGTTCTAATTGTATCATTTGCCAATTCATCACCATGTAAAATTGTGCTCAGAAGTGATGCTTGAAATCTGTTCCCGTTAGTGCTTCTTATGACAAAAATATTGCATAGTTTAAGAGTATGATTATACTGCTATCCTATGTTTAAGCCTAAACCGCTTTTTCAGACATTACACAGTCAGTTAAGAATGAGATTTAAATGATGACTTCAATCAGACCACATTTGGTCATTGTTAAAGTCAACATTAGATCAAAATGAATGCAATTTACTTATTTTGTGCATGTTCGGATATATTATTTTTATATATATATTATATATTATATACAGACATTTTTATGTGACTTTTATATGACTTTCTTTTGCATTTCTGTTCTAATTGTATCATTTGCCAATTCATCACCATGTAAAATTGTGCTCAGAAGTGATGCATGATTGAACAAGCTAACAAACTAACCCCCAAAAAACCTTTTCCCACATTCAACCACCTCCACTTATCCTGGGTTTGTTTCACAGGGTGGATGGCAGGTCTCTAGGATGACTTTTCTCACCCCCAGCTGTGCAAATCCCCAATTTACTTTCTCCTTAATGAGCTTCTCCAGGCCAACTCTGAGACCTAAAAATATACAATAAACAATATGCAATCAGGGACAAATAGAGCAGAGGCTGCGGGAGTGATTGTGAACAAGAGTAGGATGCAGAGCTTTCGAGATAATGTTAATGAGGAGAAGTTTTGACTGAATCCAGGCAAGGTGAAGCACTTTTTTCTTCTACCCTTTTTTAAATGGATGTTTCATTCTTCTGGAAAATAAAGGGTTTTTTATTTCTAAGAACCACAAGTGTCTCTGGTGAAGCAGCCCGTACAGGTATGTATCTCTAAATTAAAAGAAGGCTGAATCTTAACCTATGAAATCTTAAACCCCAGAAATTTTCTCTCCACTTCAAACTCTATAGCACTCTCTGCGTTGCTTGATGACGTGTCTGTTCTCCATGTGTTTGAAATGCACCTCTCCTCCCCTTGCATTCAACTTTCCATCATTGCCTCGGGAGCGAGAGCCGCCTCCAGCTTTCCAATCTCCTCCCTGACATCTCCGCATCTTAATCCCACCTTTTTGCCGTCTGAAAGCAGAGGGGCTTTGTAGAACTGAGAAGAAAAGGGATTTAGCCGAGTCTGTCTGATTTCAAAAAGTGAAAATGCGAGAACAATTCAAAATTAATTCTTTATCTGTCAGAGAAGTTTTTGTTGGAGACATTTCCTCCCTATCTGTATGTGCTGAGTTAGCTGTGGAGAGATTCAGGTGTTGTAGATTTAAAAAGAGCTCTTTGTAACTTGACAGGGGAAGAATACGAGTTAGAAAACCCATCACCAGCTCTCCTCCGCCACTAGAAGCTCAACGAGAAGGCTCTGAGCTGCTTCTCTCTGTTATTGCTTGAGTTTCTCATACTCATCTGATCTCTGAAACATCGAAGTGACAGTTTCGCTACACAGCAGTAACTTGCTAATGCACTTTGATTGATGTACGTGTCTTTGAGCCAATCAAACCGTGCTGATTAAAAACTTTTCTCATCTCAGGCACCTTTGACATGCTTCTTCACAAAGAAAAAGTCTTCTTTTTGAAATGCCTTGTCCTAATCTAAACTTTTCAGTGTTTGTGGATCATGGAAAAAGACATTGAAAGATATATATACAGAATCATAATGAATTAAAATGATATTTTGAGTGGATTTTAAATGCGACATGTTCCTCAAAAAGTTGTTTACATCAAGTTGTACAATATTTATGAGCAAAAAGTCATGATGGTTGTCAGTAAACTGGATGGTGATCATTTGCTGTCAAGATCAGATTTCCTTTGCTATTTATTTTGAATATATTTGTTTATGCATACACACACAGAGCACTACGTGAGCCAAAGAAGATATGTGACATCCTTGCTAAAAGTTCAAACAGTTGAATTCCACCGGATGTACCATACCACAGGATGTACTTTGGTGGAACCTTTTTAAAGTTAGGTCTTTTTCATATGTTGTCCATCAGTCGAGAGTGCGTCAGACCACCTGTCATTGTCTTTGCCACCAGGCAGTGAGAGTAATTCTTTCAGACAAGAGCATGCTATTTTTAGCCCCATTTATATCTTAGATGGTGTCTGTCTCCCTTCAGACAATCTTTGATCCCCTCAACTTGCTCACCTCATGTTCAGGACCAAGTTTTGACAGGACTCCTCGTGATTGGGTGTAAAATCAAGTTGTTTTATGCAAAACCTTTCGCCGGTGGCAGGACAAAATCTGCTGCAACTTGACTGCTTCTCTGTTTCTACAGGTGTCAGCTGCCCGTCCATACAGGTAGAAGAATGGAAGTTTCCTCAAACTGCCAGATACAACATAACAGGTAAATACTGCTGCTAATTGACCTCCCTTAATGAAACTTAAAAAAAAAAAATCATCATCTGTCATCATTTACTCATCTCAGTTTGTCCAATAGCACATGATGTTCTTGATCTTCTGAGGAACACAAAAAGAGATATTTAGTTGAATGTCCAACCTGCTCTTTTCCATAAACGAAAATCAATAGTGATGGAAGGTTGTCAAGCTCTAAAAAGCCAATAAAAGTAGTCCATATTTCATGTACGCTACATTCCAAGTGTTTTAATATGATAGCTTTGTGTGAGCAACAGACCAAAATTTAAGTTATTGTTCACTGGTTTGAGCTACTGTAAATGAGTAGACAAAAACTAATTTTTTTTAGTGAACTATCCATATTGTCATGATTTTAATAATTTCATAATGTCGAACCACTATTTAGGGGCCATTCACACAGGACTTGTTCTTGGATTCTGTGATGTTTTTTATAAGGAATACATTAAATAAGGATTGACAATTGATTTTAAACTTTGTTAAAAATACAGTAAAACAGGAATACTGTAAAATAATATTACAACTTCTAACATTTTTAACCAATTAAAATTTTAATTTATTAAAAAAAATTGTGTTTTCTAAGGTGGCAAAAAATACAAGATGGTGGGAAAATGCTTTTTCATTCTCTGAGGTTTTTCTCCCCACCTCATTTTATTTCCATCACAAAAGTTTTACGAGCATACGCAAAGTTTCTCGAGGAAGCACACAAGTATTTATTTTATTTTGCATCATCATGTCCCCTTAGGGGCTCCATAATTCATGATGTCAAAGCTGAATTATTGTGTTTTCTAAGGTGGCAAAAAATACAAGATGGTGGGAAAATGATTTTTCATTCTCTGAGGTTTTTCTCCCCACCTCATTTTATTTCCATCACAAAAGTTTTACGAGCATACGCAAAGTTTCTCGAGGAAGCACACAAGTATTTATTTTATTTTGCATCATCATGTCCCCTTAGGGGCTCCATAATTCATGATGTCAAAGCTGAATTTTCAGCAGCCATTTACTCCAGTCTTTAGTGTCACACAGTCCTTAAGAAATCATTCTAATATTCTAATTTGGTGCTAAAGAAACATTTCAATGCTGACTTCTATTTTCTTCAGCTTTGTACACAACAACACTTTAAATTGGCCAATTATTTTGCATAGTATATCCAAAAAATGGGAAAGAAGTTCACTCTACATAATTATGTGAATGTACTGCCATCTGCAATCATTCAAGCCTACACTTAATAAAGGCCCAACTACCAATAAAGGCAGTCTAAGGAATAGACTCTGTTCATGAGCTGAAAGATATAAATGCTCCCAGTGTTAAGGTCCCTCCTTTGGCCTTACATGAATTGAAAACTGCCACAGCAGAGTTGATACATAGCATAGGACATGTCAACTAGCAGCTCACTGATTTATTAGCCTGAGGGGTGGTAAATGGATTGATTGCCCGATCTGCAGGTTTCAATCTGGCGCGCAGTTTCTCCCTGTTGAAGAACAGCGAGGTCAAGAAGATCCGAAACCCGAGAGGGCCTGTCATCCTTCGCCTTGGGAAAGTACAACTCATTCAACCTACAGAGTAAATTTTTTTATCTTTCCTCTTTTGTTTGTCTTGGTATCTATTTTTTCTAAGATTCTAAGAGAGGGAACGTTATTTTCCATCATTTTCTATGACCCTTCATGGTCAATTATAGAAAAAACTACATTTTCGCTCTCTCTCAGATGATGGAGCCTGTTCATCCTGTATCTAAAAGCAATAAAACATACAGTACAATAAGACAGAATTGCAGAACTTCTAGAAGTATTCTAGCAGGTCACTACAAGCCTCAAATTCCTGGCCGTTGACTGTTATTTGGTCTAACATTTACAGTACGCTAGCATCATGAAGGAATCGCAATAATGTCACTACAAATATTTTCACTTCCTCCTTAAGTTACGTCCATCTCGCTGCAAATAAACATTTCAGCAGATTACACTCTGCTTTGTGCTTTTACACAGAAACGCTGTACAATTTTTTATTAACAATAACTTTAAGTGCTTTTGGTGAGACCTCAAGCCACAGTAACAATCCATTTTATGACAATGCTTTTACTGAGCCGTGCGTAGATGAAAAATGACAATGATATAAGCTAACGGGTTCTGTTTCCTCTGGTACTGTATGTTGGGATGAGAAAGTCAGTTTGCATTGCTTTAGACTACACATCAGCTTCCTTATTAGAATTTCCTGTTATGCTTCTCTCATGTAGACTTAACAGAAATGAGAGCGTTTGAGTCAAATAGGTCAGAGGAGTAATATTGAAGCTCTCATTCTTGTGCTGGACTGTATAACTGTTTTATACTCTTTTTTTGTACTTGCTCTGTCCTCGATCTGCAGCGTATACTGTACACTGTGTCATGAATTCACAAACACAAATGGTGTCCTTCAAAAGCCTTGTTCGGACAGGACTACTTTTCTCTGAGAAGGTTACGGGACTTTTTGTTGTACAGGCTAACTTGTGGATCTCATAAGAGCTTTTCACATCTGAAATAGTTAATCATTCTAAACCCCAGGTAAAGAGAATCTTGGGTTATCTTGCTTTGCGTTAAACACTGCTCATACTTTACCCGGGGTTAACAATTTATCCTGGGTATTCATAAGCTGATGTTTTACTCTGTACATTCCTAAACCCAGGGTTTATATTCTTATTAGCATATTTGCGGTGTAAGTGTCATTGATTGGACGAACATGGCATGCAACCTTTACTTAATGGCTCTATCATTGCACATCCTCTTATTATATATTGGTGACAGTATTATAACATTTTACATTCTCTTTCTGTGAGATAAAGTTTAAAGTAAAGTATATAACGGCAACAGTACTATCAAGTTTTACACAATGGACTTTTCTGACTATAAAGTTAGGAATGAAACGGTCTCTTCTTTACATTCTTTACTAATGTCATCATTTGACATGTTTTCCTCTCAAGTGCTAAAACGTTAATACAACATGCTATGTTTCCGTGCCTGACCAAATCATGTGAATATGAGGCACATGATTGGTTGTTGGCTGCTAAGCGTGTAGCCGTAACATTCTAACGCATATTTCGTACTGTACACGGTTGACACCGAAATGCTACATCATATGACCCCTTTAAAGGTTAGGAATTTGGATCCAGATGTTAGGTTGGAGGTCTCTTGAGAACGTATGTGAGATTCATAAAGGATCACAGCAATGGTACAAAATGTAGTCATACTTGTTAATACACAAAAGTCAGATTTCAATTTTCTCATCAAAATGCTTTCTTATTCTGTCCTATACCTCCTTTAGCTGCAATAATAGTTGTGTTTTGCTTGGAAGTTGTACAGTTTGACCTTCTGAAACTTTAAAAGGAAAGGCAAAGATACACACACACAGACATACTCAAATCCCCCCATCATCAGGTAGTTCCTCTCTAAGAATGGGTTTTCCAGAGCCCCAGGTGCTTTCCTCATTTGAAACCTGAGCTCTTTTTCTCCTGCTCTAAATCTCATCTCAGCCAGAGAGAGCGAGAGCCTGTGCTCCAAACTCACTCGATATGGCCGGCTTACTGCAGAAGGGGGGAAAAAACAGGATTCTTTCTCCATAAATAGTCTCCTACATTCTCTTTCTATGAGATAAAGTTTAATGTAAAGTCTTGTCAACCGGTCTCTGATACTTGATAGCAGCAGATGGTGTTTAAATTGTTAGGCCACCTCTGTGTTAGTCATTCTCTTAGTTTAGACTTAACTTCTATTAGGCTTGTAATAGAACTGTCTAACTCTTGCTTTCCTTTATCTTGAATTTCACCTCACCTTGGAGAGAGATGGAGGGTGTAAGTTTGAGTGTGTTTACTCAGGTCTTTGTATTTGTGTCCAAGAAGAAGTGCAAAAATTGGGGGCTGATAAGAATAACTGATAATTAGCAGCTTCTTGTGGCTGATACTGATAATGAAGCTTTGTGGTTTTTCTAAGTAATTAGCTAATTAATTATAAACTGCTAATTTGACACCAAATAAATGCTGTTTAAAAGCTTTGAACTTTACCATTAAAATAGGCGATGGCATTTTCGAACTGTGACCCCAAAACCGATGTACCGAACCGTGACTTCTGTGTACCGTTACACCCCTAGTGTTATATATACAGATTAAAAGTCTCAACTAGTGGAATACAACAAGCATATTAGTTTTATTCACATACAATACCGTTCAAATAAGTTTGGGGTTGGAAAGTAGTCTCTTATGCTCACCAAGGCTGAATTTCTGCATTGAATTTTCAGCAGCTCTTACATTAATGATAAGTGTGTCACATTATCATTCAGAAATAATTATAATATGTTCAAATAAAAATGTTATCATTGTTGAAAACAAAGGAACTCGTGAAATTCATGATGAATAACATTAAAAAAAGCATGTGAATGGTAGAGTATCTTGCTCAAAAATACACAAGTTGGCTGTTTGTCCATTAAAAACCGCTTGACGGAGAGTGGTGCAGTATTAGCTCCTATACATTGTTGCTAATATAAACACAAGGATGTCTGTATGAAAATAGTGCTTATTAGATTCTGATTGGTGTGTTGATTTAAAAGTGACATTGATTTAAACACACTACATTTCAAAAGTGTTAAAGCTATTTTCACAGTACTGAAATATTAACAGAATATAAAAATGGGATTTTGTTACTTTTAATTCAAATAAGTTTGGGGTTGGAAAGTAGTCTCTTATGCTCACCAAGGCTGAATTTCTGCATTGAATTTTCAGCAGCTCTTACATTAATGATAAGTGTGTCACATTGTCATTCAGAAATAATTATAATATGTTCAAATAAAAATGTTATCATTGTTGAAAACAAAGGAACTCGTGAAATTCATGATGAATAACATTAAAAAAAGCATGTGAATGGTAGAGTATCTTGCTCAAAAATACACAAGTTGGCTGTTTGTCCATTAAAAACCGCTTGACGGAGAGTGGTGCAGTATTAGCTCCTATACATTGTTGCTAATATAAACACAAGGATGTCTGTATGAAAATAGTGCTTATTAGATTCTGATTGGTGTGTTGATTTAAAAGTGACATTGATTTAAACACACTACATTTCAAAAGTGTTAAAGCTATTTTCACAGTACTGAAATATTAACAGAATATAAAAATGGGATTTTGTTACTTTTAATAGATGATTCCAATGAAAACGTGCCCAAACATATCAAAACAAAGTGTGTAATTCTTGAGATAATCATCACAGCAACATGACACGCTAACTTGGCTAAAAACACTACAGTTTTATAGTACACGCCATACACATGAGGCTGTTTAGGTCACACATATTATGAAACAAAATAAACAAATTGCCGCAGTCGGAAATTGGGCTAAACATATTGGCTGTAATTCCACTAATGGCATTGATAATAATGATTTAACTTGTCATCATAATAATGATTGAACTAGTTATTTTCTGACAATATATATTGCACTTCTATTCTCAATATATAGATCTGCTATATGGGACACTAATATTGAAATAAATGTAAAAAATCATTAATCTTTGATTCATTATGGCCCTTTCAGTGGAGTAGTTTTGTTCAGCAATATCAACAAGAAATCTTTGAAAGGAATATGTACCTCATTCCCTGTCATAACAAGTTTCATCCTGTACAATCTCTCTCTCTCTCTCTCTCTCTCTCTCTCTCTCTCTCTCTCTCTAGTGTTTAGTCCTGATTTAATTTTTTCCTCGAGGTAGACTGGCCTCACTGTTATTACTTTGAATTCCAGGTCTCTGTTATAAATCATTGTCATCTCATTTTAGAGACAAACACGCTACCTGCTCGTTGTTGTGCGTGTTATGTGTTCATGTTTATGTGCTTATGATCAGCTTCCCATTGTTCCATGACTTGCATGTGAATAAACTCCAGTACCGAGTGTATGTGTGTGTATATTTGGGATGGTAAACACATTCCTGGAGTTTGCCTGCCCTTGACCCACCAAGAGGCAGGCAAACTGTTTATCTAGCTAGAGATAGAAGTTGAGAATGAAGATGAGGTTTGCTGAGCTGCATTTCTTTTCAAAATTAGTGTCAGGGGTTATCCCTATATCTGTATCCACAGCACCATTAATACAGAGATACTCCCCCTTCTGCTAGCATTCAGACTGTTTCTTTACTCTTACGACCAGCTGCTCCACATTTATTTGTTTGTACGTGTACTGCAGTCTAACCGCACACTTGTCTCCTCAGTCAAGTGTTTCCTCATGGACTTCCAGAGGAGTTCACCCTGGTCTTTACCCTGCTGCTGAAGAAGAAATATATTTGACAAAGGAAGCGCACATGGGAATACGTACAGCCAACTCGGAGCTGGCATTTTGAAATTTTGGATCAGAGGATATTTCACAGCCAACAACTGTTAGACATCATTAGTTATGTGCCAGATGGACCATTTTTAGTCTGAAAAAATGATTATTCCCTTTACATGTTAGTTACCTATTTGTGAGGTAAGGTAGGAATAACATTAAAACCATCTGACTAAAACATCAACATGGTTGCCATAGTGTGTGTGTGTGTGTGTGTGTGTGTGTGTGTTTGAATGTAAGCCAACAAAGTTCTTTGTGTTCTGTTGTTTTGGGGCGAATGCTCAAAGCTCCCTGCAAGTTATTTGACAAAGGAAGCGCACATGGGTATACGTACAGCCAACTCGGAGCTGGCATTTTGAAATTTTGGATCAGAGGATATTTCACAGCCAGCAACTGTTAGACATCATTAGTTATGTGCCAGATGGACCATTTTTAGTCTGAAAAAATGACTATTCCCTTTACATGTTAGTTACCTATTTGTGAGGTAAGGTAGGAATAACATTAAAACCATCTGACTAAAACATCAACATGGTTGCCATAGTGTGTGTGTGTGTGTGTGTGTTTGAATGTAAGCCAACAAAGTTCTTTGTGTTCTGTTGTTTTGGGGCGAATGCTCAAAGCTCCCTGCAAGCAGTGTTTAAAATGGAAACAAGGGCAACTATTTCCCCCTTGAATGCATTTGCTCTAACGTGGCTTTTTAAAAGCAGAGGAGTCAGCGATTTCATCTTGAAATGCGGAAGAAAAGATGCCTTATGCTGTAGATGTCTTGAAAGACCACATTTATATCATCACCAGGAAATGTGCATGAGAAGGATTTTTTAAACATAAATCAAATCAAATCCAGTGTTGTTTTAGTGTTTTTTATATACAGGTGCATCTCAATAAATTAGAATGTCATGGAAAAGTTCATTTATTTCAGTAATTCAACTCAAATCGTGAAATACGAGTGTATTAAATAAATGCAATGCACACAGACTTAAGGGTTTTTATTCATATTAGCTTTTATTTTTATATTTTCAGGTAATTTTTTAGCAATTTTGTTTGCTATTTTATTTTATTATTTTATTTTATTAGCCAGACAATTTAATTTTAAGTTTAAGTTCTTTTAAGTTTAAAATTTTCATCTAATATTTATATTATACCTAAATCAGTTTGACCTGTGCTCTTTGTGCTTCTCTAGTGCCCACCGGATGCTCCCAAGAGTCGACGAGCTGCAGAGAACCAGGTGGAGTTTGTGCCCAATCCCTTCGCTCAGGTAAATTAATTTGACTGTTAAAAATTCTAATCTTTTGCAATTAATTTTTAGATATGTTGTTGTTAAAATATAGTCCATGAACTCATTCATTTGCAAAAACAACCCTTGATACAGCACTTGAAAATGAGCCACTGAAAGTGTCTCTGAAAAGGCCTCTAATGAAAAGATCTTACAGAAATTAATAGAGGGGTTGTTAGTTATTGAATGTGGAATCCTGATCTTGAGATGGTTTGAAGTGTTTGAAGACACACACGTACTTGCTCGCAGAGGGAGCTATTAAGGGGGCATAGACAGAGGATGCATCCTTGCTTTCAAAAGCAGAAAGAATGCAATGGAGTGGGACATATTGAAGAGGCCTCAAGATGCATTTTTTAATGAGCTGTATTTTTTTACTCAATACGCTATTTTAAAATGCAACAAATATACGATAACCAACAACATCTATCAAATTAATTTTTGCACATTAATTAATGGTGTGAACCGAACAATTCCTGTGTGCAAGCCTCAGGAAGCCCAAAGAAGTAATATTCCTAAAATAGGTTGGCCAGTCTCTTTAGGTGAATATACTAATGATATATTAATTTGCAGCACCCTTTCAAGTTAAAACACTTGAATGATGCATCCCAGCAGTATTACAGCACATAGAAAGATGACAAGATGAGCTGAAGATGTGATGTAGGCTGATACATTTTTCTCATCCTGATATATTCGACATAAAATGACACAGTTAGTGGCCATTAAGCATCCCACTAGCAGGCAGTTGAATGAGCTCTTTTGCAAAAACTGGAAATCAATGTAAATTTTTGTGAACAATGCCCAGTGGGCCGTAGAAATGCTGAAATCAAATGCTCTTTTATTTTTCATTCTTGCTCTTTCTCTTCTAGTCTATGCACATTTGTTCCTGCATCTACATGTTCTTCTCGCCCTCTCTCTTTTTCTCTCCTGTTATTAGTGGTCATTTTTAATGTCTTTTGAATAGTTGGCCCTCATCTATAGTTAATAAGCTGTATTTTTTGTGGGTCAATCATATATATATATATATATATATATATATATATATATATATATATATACATACAGAGGGGGCCAAAATAATTAGAACACTAGCAAAATTGAAATGTTATATGACTTAGTGATGGACAGGGAAAAGTAAATGACAGATCAAAGAGCCTGTCTGGAAAGATACATTATAATAGAAAGTTCAATAATGTGCCTTGAAAACTTGTTTAAGTGAATGAAAGTAAATATATATTGTGTGAATATATATATATACATATATATATATATATATATAATGTATATTTAAAATATATATATAGAGAGAGAGAGACAGAGAGACTTATCATTGACGTTTGACTATTTTAATAATTGTGACTTAATTATTAAGGATAAAAATTAAATATATATATATATATATATATATATATATATATATATATATATATATATATATATATATACAGAGTACATACACACAGTCAAACCAAAAATTATTCAGACACAATATAATTGTTTATTTTTTTTTTCACTAGTGGGTGCAGGACACTATAGTTCATTTATGTAAGTGAGGATAGCAAAATAAAGTAAACTGTGACATTGTCACGTTACGCTGCCAGAAGGAACACAGAGCCGTGGATAATCGAAAGAATCTTTAATGGTATCCAACACAGAGGGTAAATCCAACTCAGGGAACAGGAGGTAGACACACGTACATCACTGGTAGAACCAACAAATACAAACTGAACAGACTGGGACTTATAAGGACTGGATAACGAGGGACAAAATAGACACAGCTGGAATCAAATTAACACAATTAACAAGAGGAGAAACTGGGTCACAGGGAGCAAAACACACACAGACAGTCCAGAACCCTGACATATCGCCCCCCTCCCGGAAGGTGCGTCCTCGCACCGTAGAACAACAGAATGGGGGGGGGACTTGGGAGGTGGCTCAGGAGGAGGACGGACACCTGGGAGGAGGACAACGACCAGAATCCAGGGAGGAGACGATGGAGGGAGGAGCCAAGGAGAAGTCCAATAGAGCTGGTGGAACGAAGCGACGAGGTGCAGCCGGAGGAGCGGAGTCCTGAGGCTATGGCGGGTCGACGCCCGACCAAGGTGGAGCCGGAGGGACGAGGGAACCTGGTGGAGCGACGGGTGGCGGTGGAGGTGAGAGAGCTAGGAGCCGAGGTGGAGCCACTGGGTCTACGGGCTGAGGCGGAGTCCGGTCCTCGGAGGCTGGAGGTGGAGGTGAGGGATTCTCCAGCCATGGCGACACTGGAGGATGGCAGGAGCGGGCGGTTGGGTGGGCACTTGTGAGCCTCCGGGCTCTCAGGGTTGCCCTCGGGGATCAGAGCCCACTCCTGGCTGGACTGGGAAATGGGAGCCCCCTCAGGGCTGGACGGGACCAGCGGGGACCAAGGAGAGAGGAGAGGTGGCAAGTCGACTTCCAGCTCAGTTTCCCAGTCTATTAAGTCCACTTCTAAGTCCAGCAGTCCCAGATGTATAATCAGCTCACCCTCAGCCGCGATGCAGTGGGTGGAGCTCTACTCCATGCTATCACTGTCCACGGCTTGCTCCCTCGCAGTGGGCGTGGTCGCCGGCTCTCGTACCTGGTCTGACGGGTTGAGCTCCATGTCCGGGGCGATCCTCCGCTCAGTCGCTTGGCTTTGTGCTGGCTCTCCATCATCGGTGGGCTCGGGCTGATGCTCCGCTCCGTGGGGAGATGGTGGGCTGGGCACTGGGTCTGGAGTGGATCTGACGAGATCATCCAAGGGGGAAGGGGGTGGATGGCGATCCGTTTCTCGCCAGAGTCCACTCCACGAAGGCAACGAAATCCTCTCGAGGACCATCCTCGCACGAGAGCGCGTCGTCTGGGTAGCTGGTGGTGCTAGCTAACAGCCAGAACAGTCTTGTATGGTCCTCGAGAGATCTGTCCCCCTGCACCAGCAGGAGGAGGAGGGGAAATTCCGGACGGATAAAAGGATCCATAACAACAACGGGAAAACAAAAAACTGGGAAAAACGAGAAAACAAACGGAGGGGAAAACATGGAGGTTACGGTTTTGGTCGGTTCTTCTGTCATGTTAAGCTGCCGGAAGGAACACGGAGCCGTGGATAATCAAAAGAGTCTTTAACCCTCTTAGCGCCAAAGTCGCAAAATTGCGACAAGACGTCATACTTAATCAAATAGACTGTAGTTCCTAATACGGTGTAATATCTCATTTGTATTCCCTACCACTAGATGGCAGACATGTAGTACTTCGATTCTAGACCAAAATTACGTTACCTTCCTATTCAAAGTGTTCGAGGAAATAGCAATCAATTCAGTATCTACTATTTCCTGAATATTATGACATTCAGGAGGGCCGCGCCCTGATGACGTCATACTATGCAAATTAGATGAGAATATTTACATCCCACATAAACTTTCAGTCATGCCCAACATTTTTCTAATTTACATTAGATCTCTATCTTTAAGCCCTTTTAAGCTACAAGCTTTTGAAATCTTGATGTCAAAATCCAGCATTTTTCCAAAAAAATCCTGGCGCCTAAAGGGTTAATGGTATCCAACACAGAGAGTAAATCCAACACAGGAAACAGGAGGTAGACACACGTACATCACTGGTAGAACCGACAAATACAAACTGAACAGACTGGGGCTTATAAGGACTGGATAACGAGGGACAAAATAGACACAGCTGGAATCAAATTAACACAAGTAACAAGAGGAGCAACTGGGTCATGGGGAGCAAAACACATACAGACAGTCCAGAACCCTGACAGACATATTATACCCAAAAATTATTCATACATTGGACTACCAGTAAAATTGATAAAAAATTTGGGACCAAAATTATTCAGACTCTTTGACCTGACCATGTTTTGCTCAAGTATTTTTTCCTTAATTGCTAATGCGAACTTTTTACAACACATATTGAACAAAATTAAGCAATGCTTGGTAATTGGTTGACCTAAATTGGTAGTATTTAATTATGTACTTAAATTTAACAGCTGACAGCTATTCAACTTAATTCATCACATACCTTTCTATCAAATATATCTGACATTATCAAGTTGAATTAGTTCTGACACAGTTTAACTCTTGAGTTCTTGTCATATTTTATTACCATTTTCTAAACTATAGCTAATAAACTGTGATAATGTGAGAAATGTTGAAGGTGTCTGTATATATTTTGGTTTGTATAGGTAACACTTTATTTTTTACTTTATTTTATCTTATTACACATGTTACATGTACTTGCTATTATAAAAACAATACATTTTTGCATAATTACAAGTAACCCTAAGCCAAACCCTAATCTTTACCCTAACCATATAGTAAATACACATAGTTACTTAATATTACGCAGTACTTAAATGTATAATTACACTGTAATAAGGACACCTTAAAATAAAGTGTAACCTATATTAAAATGTGTAATGTTATTTAATGCACAGGGAGTGAAATCAAAATAAAAATGTATACAATTATTGTTTACATTATGTTATGTCTTAATATTTTATATATTTGTATTATATTATATTAAACATTTCGAATATATATTTTTTTAAGGCTGCTATTATCAACCTTAATGTTATGGGGAAAGAGAAAATCAGCCATTTGACTAAATACCTCCTGCGTGATTCATGGGAAAAAAACAATCATACCGGTTTGGAGTATAATGGGGCAAGTAAATGAAAGAGTTTTCATTTTTGGGTGAGCAATCACTTTAAAACAATCCTACTGCAAAACTCCATCAAAGTTGCATGGAGTAGAGCTGAAGTTTACATGACTGCTGAAAAATCACATCTTTTTGCATTTGTGTGTCTCAGACTTCCCCAAGAATAACCTTAAGTATTTTCCAGATAACAATGACTTCCACTTAAACCAGATAGTTGGATGCTATTTTCACTGCTAACGCAAGCTGTGAATATAGGGGGTGTAACTTGGCCTCTGTGGAAAAGAGGATTTGTGATGTTGGTGTGGGCTGCTCTTGTTGTTTCTCCTGGCAGCAGTGAGTCATGATCATTAGCAGGGCTAATAAAAAGCTGGTTCAGCTGGTCTCCAACTGGTCACATATCTTCTCCGCTTGCCACGTGTATTGTTTCATATACACTCACACATGCGACGTAATTACATCCAGAGGGCCCTGTATTGGAGCCAAATGCACTCAAAGCAGTTTGTTATGTCTACACAGTCACACGTACACCAACATTCAATTCAACGCTTTGTGTGGATAAACGTCTTAACACGAATCACTCTCCATTCTCTCATGAGAACAGTGGGAGATTTGAGGTGGAGATGATTTAAAATGGTTTTGTGGTGTAAAATGCTCTTTTAATCTTTGCTGCCATAGTGACAGAGGAATTAGCTCCATTGGTACACATTATATGTATCACTTTGTGTGCTTAATGCCACTTCCTGTCTCAGTATTTGCTCATTTAATCCCTCTGATAAAATGTTAGCAGAACTAACAAATCAATGTTTGGCCTTGCCAGCCAAATTGAGCAATTGTCTGAATTTAGATGGCAATGCACAATTTATACACCGCAAGAATTAAGTATTTATCTTACGTTCAAGCAAACATCTTTACAATGAGATACATTTGTTTGAGAAACAAACTTACATTAAATATATATAATGAAATAAGTTTATTTTTCTTGCCCCATTAACACACTGATTTATTTATTTAATTTATTTAATAATTATTTATTTATTTATTTATTTATTTAACTCCCCCTGACTTTACTTGCAGTATCACTGGCACTCTAATTGCTCCATCTAGTATCGTCAGAAATCTTAGTTATGTTTGACTCCTCTCTTTCATTTCAGTCTCATATTAACTCTCTCACTAAATCAGCTTTCTTTCACTTACAACAAATTGTCCAGCTCCATCCTTTCATTAGTGCCAATGATGCAGAAACTCTCATCCATGCTTTTGTTTCCTCTCGTCTCGATTACTGTAATGCCCTTTTCATTGGTTTACCAGCTACCGTCATTGCTAAATTACAGTATATTCAAAATTCAGCCGCTTGTATTCTCACTCGCACGAAGCGCTCTGCCCACATCACCCCTATTCTGGCTGATCTGCATTGGCTACCAGTGGCCTATCGTATTAAGTATAAAATTATCCTGCTTACTTTTAAAGCTTTGCATGGTCTGGCTCCTAACTATCTTCACAGTCTGCTCCTTCCCTATTCTCCACCTCGTTCATTGCTGTCCTCTGATTCTGGTATTCTCGCCGTCCCTCGATATCGCCTCTCTTCCATGGGGGGCAGATCATTTAGTGTTGTTGCCCCTAAATTATGAAACTCTCTTCCCAGATCGCTCTGTCTTGCCAATAACATGTCTGAATTTAAATCGCTGCTCAAAACTCATTTGTTTTCACAATGTTACCTTTCTTAAGTTGACTTCTGTTTTATGTTGTCTTATCCATATATTTCTCTCTGGATGTCTGATGTTCTATTTACTTTCTGTATTATTGTTTGATTGTTTGTTTGATGTTATCCTCACATTTTTTATGTTTATTGTAAAGTGTCCTTGAGCTCTGGAAAGGCGCTATATAAATAAAACATTATTATTATTATTATTATTATTATTATTATTATTTAATCTAACCCTGATTTATAATTACAATTTAAATGGGGTAAGAAAAATGAACTTTTTGTAGTCTATGAAAGGTCTCTTTATAATGTCTTACTGTCTAATGGTTCTTTTTCTTCTCAAATAAATGCTTATTTTTCATTTCAAATAAATTGATTTAAATATTTAATTTAATTTATTATATTAGGAAAATGTATTTATTTACTGAAAAAAATGACTTAAATTGTCCAGTGTATGCTTTATATACTGTATATAAAAAAATAAAAAAAGTGTCTAAAATATGAAGAGTGCAAACGCTCTAGTGTGGACACGCTCCACATTTCAAACCAACATTTCAAACATGAAATACTGCCTTAATTGAAAAGTAATATACACATATTAGAAAAAATAATAATTTTCAATTGGAAAAAAATTATCATAATTATTGCATAAGTATTAATTAGTGCCATTAAATTCTCTCAAAAAAAAAAAAATATATATAATTAAACAAAAATATATTACATTGATTTTACTGAAAAAAAAATCTACATTTCAGGTGAAAATTCTCGGTCACTTTTGGGTATAACACAAGTGTGATCCCCAAATAAACAATACCAGAGGGTTAAACACACACATATATATATATATATATATAAATGTCGCATATGTCTTCAATATACTTGCAGTTGCATTACTTTTAAAGAAACTGCCATGTTTTGCCGACGTGTACATGAGATCATGCATAAATGATGGTAATTTTGTGTGTGTTTGTTAATTTGTGGAATTCTTCCATATACAATCTTTACCAGACAGCTCCACAGCTGTGAGCTCAAGCTCAGCACAGACATACTTCCAGCCCTTTTCTTTATTTATCTGTTGGAGATACACATGCGCAGAAAAAAAAAAATTCACACAAGCTCCCATGTTTTCCCCTGACCCAGGTTACTGTCTTGTACCATAGCAGCATGTGTTTTACGACAGACTGTAATGAGTTCCAGGCTGTGTTGGACGCTGCTAGCATTAGTCTACTTCTGGATTAACCCCTTCCTCCGACGCAGATCCTCAATCCACCCCGCATTAAAGTCCCTATAGAAGCACAGCATTCTTCTGTCATCACATCTGTTTTCTGTCGAGCTCACCGGCAGGGAGAAATTCATGAGCTGAGAGCTGCACGGTTGCAGCTAAGCAAAGTTTCCTGCATTATTCATGCGTTCATTCCACCAGGGTTTTTGGAACAGGTCATCACAATTCTCTTCCATCCTGTGCAAGCCTGTAGCTATATGGACAACATGTCCATTTCATGTTCTCTGTGGAACCCTGTTTTCAGTGTTTGTGTGTGCATGCGTTTTCAGCAATTTCTAACCTGGATCTCAGGGTATGACCGGAGATTAGGTACTGAGCTCTTTTCTGTCATACTCCTGTTTTTATGATTTCTCCTTCCTTTTTCATGCCTATCCAGTCTGATTAGCCTTCCCGATTCTGTGTTTGCTCTCTCTGCTTGGACATGACTCGAGGATTTACTTACACGTCTGCTCCACAAACACATCTTTTGTTTTTCTCCCTGTCCCAGATGTTCTCTTTCAAATCATGTCCCTCCTCACTGCACTTCCCCCTTTCCGTTCCTGCCAGTTCCCCTCCCCATTTGCTCTCTTTCAAAAGAGTTTCATATTCGCTGTTGATCATACTGATGAAACTCTGTAACGGTAAAATAACAATGCAAACGATTCTAGATAAAGATATGCCAACATCAAGTCAGCAGAACATTGTTAGGTAAGCATGAAAATTTAGAGATGGCATAATATGCACATAGGCATCGCTAGACCCTATTTAGGAGGCTTTCCTGTTTTATGTGATCTCTCTTCATGTTTGCTGAAAACATGGTTGTTAGATCTGTAGCTACTTTGGATTCATTGTGTCTTTTAAAGTTTGTAACATTAACATTTCTTACATTGTCCATTTCTTTGTTTTTGTGTTCTACAGGCAATTCTCGGATCCAAGGAACTGGCAGAAAAAGTAAGTTATTTGAAATAAGTAACCAGGAAATCAAATATTTCTATTTGCCATGAACAGCAACAGGTAGTCCCAATTATAAGGCTTCAAACCTGACAAAAAGAATTGTGGCCCCAGCAGATTTCACCCAATAGCTGTAGAAATTCAGTGTAATTGGTAAGTAAATTGCTGCATGCTAAGTTGCAGTGGGAAGAACATTGACACTGACCCTGACAAACTCATGAGATAATTTACTTATGATAATTCAGCATATTGTGCAATATTACACCACCTGGAATTAGAGGGACTTGTATTTGCTTGGTAAATGTGCTTCTCTGGCACAATATGTTAATAACACCCATGTTTCGCACATAAAACTCGTGTCTGTTTGCCACCTTTTCCCCTCTCTGCACCCACTCAACACTCAACTTATTTTTTATGACTCATAGAAAAAAGATATTACCTTTTTTCAAATGCCAATATTTGAGTGGGATGTGAGTGGGACTTTTTTGGTTTTGATTTAATTCACAGAGCTAAACAATGGGTCAACGGCCGTGTCTCAAATAGTTGCGAACCAGTGTTGTTGATAACTGAAACTAAACTATTAAAAATCATTTTTAGCAATGTAACTAAAGCTGAAATTAAATATAAGCATTAGATGAACACTCACACACACACACACACACACACACACACGGAAATTAACACAAAAAGTAGACATAAATAAAGCTTAAATTATTCTAAAATTACTTTTTAGATTAAAATTAAAAATGGATATATAGAAAAATAAATAAATAATAATAAAAATGTCAAGAACATACGAAAATGTGTAAAACTTAAATTAAAATGAAAGTTGAGAATATAAAAACAGATATTCAAAATATTGCTAAATACTTCTTATTATGAGTAACACTGATTTGGATGAAGGACCCTGTGCATCTGTGAAGTCCACACAACCCCATGTGTCCTTTTTGTCATGGTATCAATCTCACATTTGCTAAATCATTCAAAAGTTGATCTTCCTCCATTTTCTTGAAACGACATAAAAGCACTAATCAAGATTACATTGCGGTACTAGCAGTGGAAGTACACAGGGACACTTTTGAAGGATTTAAACACAAATGTAAAGCTTATAATGTTAGAAAAGCTTTTACATTATTTCTTCTGTTAAAACTAAAGCTGTTTTCATCTTTTTACAACCATTTTAGTATTTTAGGTGTTACAGTTGGCAAATAAGTTGTAAAATTAACTGTTTTTCTAACACAAGATTAATGTTAACGTGCATATTCTTCATGTCTTCTGTCTATACTATGAAAACAGTGAGTATTTTAATGTTTATGGATCAGCCCTATATAGTAAGTGCCTCACTGTAACCTAGATTTTTGCTTTGAAATTAAATTTGCTGATAATATATGTAGCAATATAATGGCTCAAATGCTGCTGTTTGAGCTTAAATTGTATTAAACCCAGTATATTCCTCTACAGCACTGAGCGCGCACAATTGGTCATAGACAAAGACTCTTAAAACGATATGGTCTCTAACAATAGAATATAGGATTGCACATAAATCCATTCATTCATGCGAACAGAGCGAGTGTGTGAAAATCTCAAAGAGTTGATTTTCATCATGTAGCTTTCTTCTGTGTGCACCTCTGGAAAGAATGAATCAGCCCAGAGCGTCAGCCAACCGTTCTCAGAGCTGCGGCACAGAGACGGGCCCCTTCCTCTCCTTCTCTCTTACCTCACCACATCAATGCCCGTTAACCGCCTGTTGGCTGAGCAGGACTCGACTGGTGGTGGATTTTGTTTTAATTGTGCTCTTCCGCTAAAAACGAACAGCTGTTTATAAGTATTTGACTTTGCGTGTCCCCCCTCCCTTATAGCTTTGCAGCTGGCGTTGGTGAACATTGCCGTGAGGAGTCTTCTGTTCCTATTGATCTTTGTCTCCCGTGAGAGGGCCGCGGCAAGCTGAAATGACACTCAGTTGTGGTCCTCGTGCGTGCGCCCCCGATTCTGCACTCCCATGCCAATTAACGTTATGTTGCACTGCCACCAGCAGGCCAAAATATGTAACAACATCAAAAAGCAAAGCTGGTTTAAAGTAGAGTGGAGTGAAATACGATTTCAAAAATCACATACAGACATGTCATGGATAGGAACAACCTGGTTTTCTCTTTTTTCCAGTGTGCAGGCTGTGTACTGCTCAGTGAGGAATCGAGTGTGGGTATTCACGTTCAGGTTGTCGTGTGCAGCATGTTTAATGGCTGTGTAGGTAGGCAGCAGGATTTGCATGCTTGAGTGTGCATGAGTGCTGCGTTATCACGCCCTTGGAAAGAGATGCATTTATGTCTTTGAAAAATCTGGCAAGGATTCATGATACTTGTTGGGTATGTATATATATATATTTTCATTGAAAATGTTTAGTACATTTTTTTGTATTATCACTTTATTATTAATAATAATATATGACTAATATATGACAAGAATATTTATATAATAACTACAGTATATATAATATTTAATCTCATAGGGATTCAAACGATTTAGGGAAGTCGTGGCCTAATGTTTAGAGAGTCGGACTCGTAACCCAAAGGTCGCAGGTTCGAGTCTCATACCGGCAGGGATTGTAGGTGGGGGGGGTGAATGTACAGCGCTCTCTCCCACCTTCAATACCACGACTGAGGTGCCCTTGAGCAAGGCACCGAACCCCCAACTGCTCCCCGGGCGCCGCAGCAAAAAATGGCCGCCCACTGCTCCGGGTGTGTGTTCACTGCTGTGTGTGTGCACTTTGGATGGGATAAATGCAGAGCCATCCAAAGTGCACTAATTCACCATGTCACTTCACTTATATAGAATATCAAGTAAAAATTAATATATATAATATTATACTATATATATAGAGAGAGAACAAAGTACTGCAAGTAGAGTGATACAAATGGTGAAACAGCTGATGGAGTTGTTTTGGACTCTGATATCACACTCTTATCAGCCAGTCATATTCGAGGACCAGAAAGAACTGTTGAGTGTATATATATATATATTAGTGCTGTCAAATGATTAATCTTGATTAATCGCATCCAAAATAAAAGTTTTTGTTTACATAATATGTGTGTGTGTACTGTGTATATTTATTATGTATATATGAATACACACACATACAGTATATATTTTTTAAATATTTACATGTATTTGGATGTATATATTTATATTTATATTATTTATATTACAAATAAATATATTTAATATATAAACATAGCAAATTTTTCTTAAATACAGTATATACATGTATGTACGTGTATTTATATAGACATGATAAATATTATGTAATCAAAAATGTTTATTTTGGATGTGATAAATCATTATTAATCATTTGACAGCACTAATATATTTATGACGTGACATGTGGCCAAGTATGGTGACCCATACTAGGAATTAGTACTCTGCGTTTATCCCATCCTAAGTGCACACACAGCAGTGTACACACACACCGTGAACACACACCCGGAGCAGTGGGCACAGTGCTGTGGCACCCAGGGAGCAGTTGGGGGTTCGGTGCCTTGCTCAAGGGTACCTCAGTCGTGGTATTGAAGGTGGGAGAGAGCACTGTACATTCACTCCCCCCACCTACAATCCCTGGCGGTACAAGACTCGAATCCGCAACCTTGGGTTACGAGTCCGACTCTCTAACCATTAGGCCACGACTTCCCACGACTATTATTTATATATATATATATGATTATCAGATTATATTATCCGCATGACAGTTTGAGTGAAAGTTGCATGTCTTATTTTAGTATTATTTCCAGGTTTAAATTAGATAATCACTTCCAGGTTTTCTCTGTCATCTCATATTTTTGGCCTCCACTGAATGTGAATTAGTTACTTTGGTGTCATGCTGTATCTGTGTGTTTTAGTGCTTAGAAGGTGCTAAAGGGGAGAAAGGAGCGAAGGGAGAGTCGGTAAGTGTGTGCGCCACCCTTGTCTTACACCCGGAGCAGTGGGCACAGTGCTGTGGCACCCAGGGAGCAGTTGGGGGTTCGGTGCCTTGCTCAAGGGTACCTCAGTCGTGGTATTGAAGGTGGGAGAGAGCACTGTACATTCACTCCCCCCACCTACAATCCCTGCCGGTACAAGACTCGAATCCGCAACCTTGGGTTACGAGTCCGACTCTCTAACCATTAGGCCACGACTATTATTTATATATATATATATATGATTATCAGATTATATTATCCGCATGACAGTTTGAGTGAAAGTTGCATGTCTTATTTTAGTATTATTTCCAGGTTTAAATTAGATAATCACTTCCAGGTTTTCTCTGTCATCTCATATTTTTGGCCTCCACTGAATGTGAATTAGTTACTTTGGTGTCATGCTGTATCTGTGTGTTTTAGTGCTTAGAAGGTGCTAAAGGGGAGAAAGGAGCGAAGGGAGAGTCGGTAAGTGTGTGCGCCACCCTTGTCTTAGAGAGAGGTTTGCGATCGAATATTTGTTCAACAGGCTTCACTGAAGCAGAGGGGGTATCTTGATACTATTTCTGGCTATTGATTCACCCATTTCTCATTCTCTTACGTTTCAGGGTCTGGCTGCCAACTGGGGAGAAGCTATAGGAGTGAAGGTAAAGGAAGACGGTGTGACTGTTAATGAGTGCATTAGAGCTTGCCGCTCACTTATCTCCATTTCTGTCTGTCTGCCTGTCTGTCACTCTCATACACATTCTCAGGGTGACAAAGGACAGAAAGGAGAAGTCGGAGCCACAGGTTTGCCCGGAAATCCAGGCAAAGATGTAAGTGACTAGCATTTGATGTGAAAGTCAAAGATGCTCATACTTTATGTACATTATATATACCAGTGCCCTCTTGAGTCTCCTTCAGACGTGTTGATATATTTCATTGTCTTGCTGCAGGAGTGTACTCAAAAAGCAATTGTATGGCATGCATAATATGTCTCTGTGCACATATTTTAATTTTAAAAGGATGCAAGAGTCTCTTTCTTTTTATTTTGTTTAAAGTGGCTCTATATATTCACAGCACTCTACTGTGAAAAGCATTGTGCATTAGACTCTTACCCATATACTCAGTTCTGCCTTTTCTTCTCATTAGATATCTGTTTGGGTGTTAAATCTTCTTAATGCTGCATAGATTACATAAGCCAACAAAGAGCCACAAATCAATGCAGCCTTGTTGATTGTTTTAAATGGATAGTCGGGTCGCATTACGCTTAATCTTTTCTATTCCGTATACAAAGCATGCTAAGGGGATGGCGAATATGGCCGAGCCGACTAATGCATATTTGGAATTTGCTTTTAAACTGTTTATCTATCTAAGCCTCCAGTCATCAGTGAACTGACTTGTTTGATTCCTGTTGGAGGGTTGTTATATAATCAGTGTGATACTGCTAATGCCAGCGTTTGAGATGAACTCAAGCTAATGATCTTTTATTGGTCTTGGCTGTCATAGGGTCGAGCTAATCCTATTTGTGTGGTGGGTCCTAAAGGACAAAAGGTAAAGCGGACTGATCCTCTTGAGGATTTTTTATGGTTTTCTGGGATACTATAAATGAACTAGTTTTGTGGTGTCATTATCTTTAGTGCTTGTTATACACAACAAGTGTTTCTCAGCGTTGATTAATTCACAGGGTGTTCCTGGTGTAGTTGGTCCAGAGGGGCTTGCAGGAGAATCAGGCCGCCCAGGACCTCCTGGACCACCTGGAGTTGGAAAACCAGGACCACCAGTAGGAAGATTCATTATTTAAATGCATTCTTTCTAGACAATTTTTAAGATTCCAATTTGAAGTTTTAATACATTTTAAAGTTATTAAGTTTTGGATGTATTCTCTAGTGTATTGTCTTTGAGTTTACTGGATAGAAAATAGAGTCGACCTCCAAAAACAGTGTTGCAAAAAATAGGAGCTGCAACTGCCAAGTTTTTCAGAGAAAAATTGTAACTGATTTTTTTTTTTCTTTTTTTTTCTGTTATTGTCAATCAATGCATTTGGACCAATTTTTCAGCTTTGTTCTATCAGTTTAGGAAAATAAGTATTTTCTTAATCTAAAATAATTAGATCGTTATAGTATAATCAGGCTATATTAAGTATAGTATACTACTCTGCATACTACAGTAGCATTTCTACAGTATGTATGTACTGTATACCACTATTCCTGTAGCATGTATGTGTAGACCTAACACATTTGCTAGCATATTTGGTATTCAGCAGAAAAACTGACTGGAACTTTAATTTCCAGTGATCAAATTTAATTGAAAATTATATTATGTCACTTATTATTTGATCAGGCTGACTTAAAATATTGTACACCAAAATTGGATTGAAAAAGTCATCACATTAAAAATGCAATAGCTTAATAAAAAGCCCAATAAAAATAAAAATCAATAAAAAATATTTGAGATGTTGAGGTAATTTGAGGTGTACACTAGTGTTCAAAGGTTTTAATTAATGTTTATTCAGCAAATATGCATTCAATTGACAGTGTAACATTTATAATGTTACAAAATATTTATATTTTAAATAAGTTCTATTTTTTTTACTTTCCATTCATCAAAAAAATCATGAAAAATGTATCACAGTTTCCACAAGAATATTAAAGAGCACAACTGTTTTCAATAAAAGTAATAACAAGAAATGTAATAATAAATCAGCATATTAGAATGATTTGTGAAGGATCATTTGACACTTACGACTGGAGTAATGATGCTGAAAATTCAGCTTTGCATCACTGGAATAAGTTATATTTTACATAAATTTACATTTTACATAACACTGAAATAGAAAACAGTTCTTTTAAATTCTAACAGTGTTTCACAATATTACAGTTTTTACTGTTTTTGATCAACTAATTGCAGCTTTGGTGAGCATAAGACGCATTAAAAAATATCACAAGCCCAACCTTTTGAACAGTAGTGTGTATAATATAAATTAATAATTAACATACAATTTGATGTCATGTGACATACTGTACATTTTGTATTCTAATGGTGTTAAAGCATCTATTGTTGCATATTGTGCACTGTTTAACATACAAAAAAAGTGCACAGTGTATACTGGGCATTATACAGTTATCAGTATGCTAGTGTTCTATTTTGTCTCTTTTTTACTTCCTAAACAGTTGTTTTTATCTCACAGGGGCCCTCTGGTGGAACTCCAGAATCTAAAGGAGAAAAAGTATGTTTACTAGTATATGTTTTCCTGCTATGACCACAAAGTGAAGAGGATGTTAAATGTGTTTTAATGAAAATGTACCATTAGCTTTTTTGTGTGTTCCTTGCAATGTTATATCTAATAATAGCAAAACATTCTCTCCATTTCTAGGGGGATTCTGGGATACATGGTGAAGACGGAAAGCCTGGAGAACCTGTAAGTGCATTTTTTTCTAATTTTGACCTATAGAGGGATGTCAATGTGAAATTATGACGTGTGCTGAATTGCTAAGACAGAAGATGCTAATTATCCTGATTGTCTATCACTCTCCTGATTGTTCTGTCACTGTAAGGGACAAAATGTGTTTACTATCATCAGCACCATAATTAGTTTTATTACCAATGGAGCTATCAGCACATAATTTGCATTTGCAACTCAATGAGCTTCTGCGCTTCTAATCTTCATGCATACCCAATGACTTGATGGTTTGTTTTGCTGACAGGGTCCGAGAGGTCCTTGGGGACCTAAAGGCGAGAAGGTAAGTCTAAGCAGTCTGAATTTCAGATTCTGCATGGAAATTACTGTTGCTTGTTATGAGTCTGCTCAGAATTCACAGAAAGTCACAGTACATATTCTTCATATTGCTTTCATTATTTTATTTTTAAAGGGACAGTTTCATTATTTACTTTATCTCATGTTGTTCTAAACCCAAATGACTTTCACCATAATATGAATGTCATTAACATTATTTATATACAATAGGGTTGGGTCCGAGTCGAGTCCTAGTTTTTGACCAGTTTTCAATTTTAGAAGAACAATACATTTAGTATGCTTTTTTTTTGTCTTCAGGGAGATCCATGTGAACCATGTCCAGTGGTGTCTTTTGACTCCACTGGCAACACTGTGGCCTTTCAGAGCAAGCAGGGGCCTAAAGGAGAACCAGGGGCCCCAGGCAAAGGAGAACAGGGTCCACCTGTGAGTTCATTCTCAAAACCAACGCCACAAACCACTTGTGTTTATCACAAAAAGCTAAAAACAGTTCAGCATTTTTGATTAAATGTCTCTGTGTAGCATCGTGAAACTGCTTTTATCTTCCAATACTCAAATCTGTGCCTGGTAGACACTTTATCATTGCAAAATATCCAGCTGACAATGCTGTTCACCTCAGTTGGCATGCCATATTTGTGTTTGCCAAGCTCAATGAAATAAGCCAACAATCAGCAAGGTATTTTTCGCCTGCTGTTGTTGTGTTGAATAAGAAATGCTGTCGCCATTCCACTACCCTCTCACAGGGAGAACAGATCTTCTATCGTGCTTCATTATAGCTTCAGGAACATTCAGGTCTCTCCTATCTTCCATGAAATCCATCAGCTTCCCCCCTCAAAGTTTAGACCACTTTCTGTGTCAGATTTAATTTTACTCAATGGCTACGGTAAAGGCCTTTCAATTTTTTAGCCTATTAAAATTTCTCCTCTCTCTTCTTCAGAGTAAGAGGGAAAAATTCGGACAGAAAAAGGATTCTGTCCAGCATACCATAAACCGCTTGTTTGCATTTCTCTGCAATGATTTCCAATACCATCACAATCTATTCCTCATACCTAGTTGTAGGACAGAGAGTGTGAGTGTGGGATGCAGAAAGTGACAGGGTGCAAATGCGGGATATTTACAGTGGAGAAGTTGCGGTCAGCTAGGATGATATTAGTGTCATGATTAGGGAGACCGATGCTGATACGTGTATGCCTCTATTTACATAGGGCCCTACTGGACTGGATGGCAAAGCAGGACATAAGGTAAGTTTTTGCTCTTTTCTTACCTTTTCTTACTGCATAGAAGCACACAAACACACACATATGTAAAAATATTAATATCTACAATACAACATAGTAGCACAAGGTGGGATATTATAAAAATACAGTGAATTAAATGGCTAATAAACTGGGCATTTACCAGTCAATATATCTGCTGGATGAAAAAATAAACTACTTTAACATCATGAAGGAGGCTTTTCCATAAATTTTACTCACATTTTCTTTCCTCAGATTTTAAAATGTGTGTGTAGTTCTTTTTATCATCTTATTGCATTCCTCTGAGGTCCACTTATAATGTTAATCAGGATTCCTTGCACTAAAAGTAGTCATAATTTAGCTTACATTACCATTTTCCACCCTTTCTCTGACCCTTAGAATTAATTGGCCTGTTTTTGCTACTGTGCATTTCAGACTTAAGTGTAAATACCCCTCTTTGCATGAGAAATTAGAAACAACACTACAGACTATTAGTATGTATCCAACTTCCTCCTCATTATTTTATTACTGGCCAGGCCAGGACACTGAATATCTGTCATTGAGATGTGCATGTGGCCGTAATGTGTTCATGCATTCATCTTTGTTACATCACAAACTACTGTAATGACCAATTTTTGCCACTTAGTTTTCAGTTTGTTTTGTTTTTGGAAAGAGGAGAGTTTTGAGTTTACAATATGATGCAACAATGTTTGCATTTTATTTATTTATTTATTTTAATCAAGCAATACTTAATATGATAAAAAGCTAAATGTAAAAATAAATAAAAACCATGGACCGTTTTTAACTTATTTTGGACAAGGCACTGGAAAGTTAATTTTTTTATTTGCCCTATTTTTAGTCTTTATCTGGGAAACCATTAACCAATCCAAAATACACAATATGACCACACATATACACAGACACAATGAAATAGGCTTTCAATTTAATGTTAATAGCTGCTTCCTGTTGCAGAGCTTTTTCTTAAAAGTCAGTGTTGTGACAACTACAGCACATTGCGGTTTATTCCAGGCTAAACTACCGCCTGCATTTTTTTTTTTAATTCAAGAGTGCTGAGTCACTGAAAATGTCATCCAGAGTTTGAGCCATTTTTACAAACTGTCTTGCGCATTGTGATTTTTTCACAGGGAGAGCCAGGAGCAGATGGGGCCAAAGGCATAAAGGTGAGTCTGCCAAGCGTTGGCAAGAAAGATGAAGAATCTGTACTCCGTTTGTGAATTGCTTGACACTGGGAGAAGTTCTGAAGCTAAATTAAGTTGCAAAATCTTGCCATCTTTGTTCTCTTAGGGTGAACCGTGTTCTGGCTGCCCTACCATTGGAGATATTCCAGCGGGCATTTTGAATCGGGCTCAAAAGGGAGAGAAGGGAGATCCAGGTGTTGGGCAGAAAGGAGAGCAGGTGAATGTGATGGAGTGATTGCTCATTGATATCCAGCACACAGCATTTAAAAACGTCTGCATCACTTTCTCCCACAAGTCCTGAACTGCAGTAAATTACAATGCAAACAGTTTTTGATATCAACTTCAGTGGTTGTGTATGAGTGTGCAGGGATGCATATATTGGCTCATGCATAACCGCAGACATCCCTGATCTGTATAACTCCACACATTTGGCTCAGATATAAGCCTCAGGCACAAATGCTTTTAAAAATGATTCTAATGACAGATTGGGGAATTAAGCAGCCAAGGCTTTTATTTCATGTCTGTTAAACAAGAGAATATGCACTGATATTCTCTGATTTTCTTTTTCTTTTCTTTCTTTTTACTTGATTTTCATGCACAGGGAGAACCAGGTCCAAGTGGCTTTGCTGGACTAAAAGGGGAAAAGGTAAACTAAATGGAAATGTATTCACTAGGATGATGAATTTCTACATTTTCAAATGGTTTTAATGTTATACACCATTATAAACAATACATATGCATGTGCAGTGACCCTGAAAATTATTTGGACACTTAAATGTATGGATGTCATTATTTTAGGTAATTGAAACAAAGAATTTCACAAAAATAAGTCGGTTGTCAGATTTAGTGGAACACCTCTGTACTTAATGTGATGAACTACACCTGTAGTTGTTCTCTAGGGCACCTGTGTGGAGAGAAACTGACTTCATACATCCATTAAAAATGACCTTGGGACCAGATGGTTAAAAGTAATTGCTAAAAGTTTGTTCTGAGAAAAGTTAAGAGTGCATTTTTTTTCAATGCCATTTTTTTCCCCAGTGCATTGAAATGCTTATGTGTCCAAATACTTTTTGTTGCCACTGTGCATGACTGTAGTGTGTGTGTGTGTGGTAATTATCAAATTGAAGCAATCTTTATCACATTATAAAATAGTATTGTCATTTCGGGAAACAATAAGGTGTAGACAGTAGTTTTTTTGTTATACGTTGTACGTTCATATGTAACATTTTCTGGTTATAGGGTAATGCAGGCAGCAAAGGAAATGAGGGGAAAACTGTAAGTAACCATTTTTTTATTATTCTTGTCTATGCTTTATGTTTTTAACTTGCATCTGTGATTTATGACTGATCTCAGCATTAGATTAATGTGCAGATGCTGATGTTTTTTAGGGCAAACCTGGTCCAAAAGGGTCAAGTGGAAATAATGGAGAGAAGGTGATTAAGCTCAACTCAGACTTTGTTATTCTGCACTGATTGTAAAGTGTTTTGATTGCAACCTCACAGCACCAGGAGACACACAAATACCACAGTTGGAGAGGCAAATATAATAATAATAATAATAATAATAAGACTGTCTAGCTGAATTTAGTGTAAACTGGCAGGAAACTGTCAGGTTTCTGAAGGATTAGGTGACTAAAGACTGGCGTAATGGCTGCTGAAAATTCAGATTTGTCATCACAGGAATAAATTTAATTTAATTTTTTCAAATAGAATTTTTTTTTTTAAATTGTAATATTTCACAACATTACTGTTTTTACTGTATTTGTCACCACCTTGATTAGCATAAGTGCATAAGAGACTTCAAAAACATTACAAAATCTTACAGACCCCAAATTTTGAATTTTTTTTTACATGAATTTTTATGAGTTCATGCAGTGTGAATCCTGCTGTCATTAAAGCACAAGTGTGACAAACCATATAAAAATTTTAAATAAAGCCTTTCAATTTTTTAGCCTATTAAAATTTCTCCTCTCTCTTCTTCAGAGTAAGAGGGAAAAATTCGGACAGAAAAAGGATTCTGTCCAGCATACCATAAACCGCTTGTTTGCATTTCTCTGCAATGATTTCCAATACCATCACAATCTATTCCTCATACCTAGTTGTAGGACAGAGAGTGTGAGTGTGGGATGCAGAAAGTGACAGGGTGCAAATGCGGGATATTTACAGTGGAGAAGTTGCGGTCAGCTAGGATGATATTAGTGTCATGATTAGGGAGACCGATGCTGATACGTGTATGCCTCTATTTACATAGGGCCCTACTGGACTGGATGGCAAAGCAGGACATAAGGTAAGTTTTTGCTCTTTTCTTACCTTTTCTTACTGCATAGAAGCACACAAACACACACATATGTAAAAATATTAATATCTACAATACAACATAGTAGCACAAGGTGGGATATTATAAAAATACAGTGAATTAAATGGCTAATAAACTGGGCATTTACCAGTCAATATATCTGCTGGATGAAAAAATAAACTACTTTAACATCATGAAGGCGGCTTTTCCATAAATTTTACTCACATTTTCTTTCCTCAGATTTTAAAATGTGTGTGTAGTTCTTTTTATCATCTTATTGCATTCCTCTGAGGTCCACTTATAATGTTAATCAGGATTCCTTGCACTAAAAGTAGTCATAATTTAGCTTACATTACCATTTTCCACCCTTTCTCTGACCCTTAGAATTAATTGGCCTGTTTTTGCTACTGTGCATTTCAGACTTAAGTGTAAATACCCCTCTTTGCATGAGAAATTAGAAACAACACTACAGACTATTAGTATGTATCCAACTTCCTCCTCATTATTTTATTACTGGCCAGGCCAGGACACTGAATATCTGTCATTGAGATGTGCATGTGGCCGTAATGTGTTCATGCATTCATCTTTGTTACATCACAAACTACTGTAATGACCAATTTTTGCCACTTAGTTTTCAGTTTGTTTTGTTTTTGGAAAGAGGAGAGTTTTGAGTTTACAATATGATGCAACAATGTTTGCATTTTATTTATTTATTTATTTTAATCAAGCAATACTTAATATGATAAAAAGCTAAATGTAAAAATAAATAAAAACCATGGACCGTTTTTAACTTATTTTGGACAAGGCACTGGAAAGTTAATTTTTTTATTTGCCCTATTTTTAGTCTTTATCTGGGAAACCATTAACCAATCCAAAATACACAATATGACCACACATATACACAGACACAATGAAATAGGCTTTCAATTTAATGTTAATAGCTGCTTCCTGTTGCAAAGCTTTTTCTTAAAAGTCAGTGTTGTGACAACTACAGCACATTGCGGTTTATTCCAGGCTAAACTACCGCCTGCATTTTTTTTTTGAAATTCAAGAGTGCTGAGTCACTGAAAATGTCATCCAGAGTTTGAGCCATTTTTACAAACTGTCTTGCGCATTGTGATTCTTTCACAGGGAGAGCCAGGAGCAGATGGGGCCAAAGGCATAAAGGTGAGTCTGCCAAGCGTTGGCAAGAAAGATGAAGAATCTGTACTCCGTTTGTGAATTGCTTGACACTGGGAGAAGTTCTGAAGCTAAATTAAGTTGCAAAATCTTGCCATCTTTGTTCTCTTAGGGTGAACTATGTTCTGGCTGCCCTAGCATTGGAGAAATGCCAGCGGGCATTTTGAATCCAGCTCAAAAGGGAGAGAAAGGAGATCCAGGTGCTGGACAGAAAGGAGAGCAGGTGAATGTGATGGAGTGATTGCTCATTGATATCCAGCACACAGCATTTAAAAACGTCTGCATCACTTTCTCCCACAAGTCCTGAACTGCAGTAAATTACAATGCAAACAGTTTTTGATATCAACTTCAGTGGTTGTGTATGAGTGTGCAGGGATGCATATATTGGCTCATGCATAACCGCAGACATCCCTGATCTGTATAACTCCACACATTTGGCTCAGATATAAGCCTCAGGCACAAATGCTTTTAAAAATGATTCTAATGACAGATTGGGGAATTAAGCAGCCAAGGCTTTTATTTCATGTCTGTTAAACAAGAGAATATGCACTGATATTCTCTGATTTTCTTTTTCTTTTCTTTCTTTTTACTTGATTTTCATGCACAGGGAGAACCAGGTCCAAGTGGCTTTGCTGGACTAAAAGGGGAAAAGGTAAACTAAATGGAAATGTATTCACTAGGATGATGAATTTCTACATTTTCAAATGGTTTTAATGTTATACACCATTATAAACAATACATATGCATGTGCAGTGACCCTGAAAATTATTTGGACACTTAAATGTATGGATGTCATTATTTTAGGTAATTGAAACAAAGAATTTCACAAAAATAAGTCGGTTGTCAGATTTAGTGGAACACCTCTGTACTTAATGTGATGAACTACACCTGTAGTTGTTCTCTAGGGCACCTGTGTGGAGAGAAACTGACTTCATACATCCATTAAAAATGACCTTGGGACCAGATGGTTAAAAGTAATTGCTAAAAGTTTGTTCTGAGAAAAGTTAAGAGTGCATTTTTTTTCAATGCCATTTTTTCCCCCAGTGCACTGAAATGCTTAAGTGTGGCTTATGTGTCCAAATACTTTTTGTTGCCACTGTGCATGACTGTAGTGTGTGTGTGTGTGTGTGTGTGTGTGGTAATTATCAAATTGAAGCAATCTTTATCACATTATAAAATAGTATTGTCATTTCGGGAAACAATAAGGTGTAGACAGTAGTTTTTTTTGTTATACGTTGTACGTTCATATGTAACATTTTCTGGTTATAGGGTAATGCAGGCAGCAAAGGAAATGAGGGGAAAACTGTAAGTAACCATTTTTTTATTATTCTTGTCTATGCTTTATGTTTTTAACTTGCATCTGTGATTTATGACTGATCTCAGCATTAGATTAATGTGCAGATGCTGATGTTTTTTAGGGCAAACCTGGTCCAAAAGGGTCAAGTGGAAATAATGGAGAGAAGGTGATTAAGCTCAACTCAGACTTTGTTATTCTGCACTGATTGTAAAGTGTTTTGATTGCAACCTCACAGCACCAGGAGACACACAAATACCACAGTTGGAGAGGCAAATATAATAATAATAATAATAATAAGACTGTCTAGCTGAATTTAGTGTAAACTGGCAGGAAACTGTCAGGTTTCTGAAGGATTAGGTGACTAAAGACTGGCGTAATGGCTGCTGAAAATTCAGATTTGTCATCACAGGAATAAATTTAATTTAATTTTTTCAAATAGAATTTTTTTTTTTAAATTGTAATATTTCACAACATTACTGTTTTTACTGTATTTGTCACCACCTTGATTAGCATAAGTGCATAAGAGACTTCAAAAACATTACAAAATCTTACAGACCCCAAATTTTGAATTTTTTTTTACATGAATTTTTATGAGTTCATGCAGTGTGAATCCTGCTGTCATTAAAGCACAAGTGTGACAAACCATATAAAAAATTTAAATAAATAAAAAAATACATTCTTAAATTCATGTTTATTTTTCAGTTCAGCTTATCACTCAAATTGTTACACTGGTAAAAAAAAAAAAAGATGGATGGATGGATGGATGCATTTTCACTAGTGATGTCATTTTTTTACAGGGTAATCCTGGCCAACCCGGTATAGGGACAACTGGTCCACTTTTTTTTTACATGAATTTTTATGAGTTCATGCAGTGTGAATCCTGCTGTCATTAAAGCACAAGTGTGACAAACCATATAAAAATTTTAAATAAATAAAAAAATACATTCTTAAATTCATGTTTATTTTTCAGTTCAGCTTATCACTCAAAATGTTACACTAGTAAAAAAAAAAAAAAGATGGATGGATGGATGCATTTTCACTAGTGATGTCATTTTTTTACAGGGTAATCCTGGCCAACCCGGTATAGGGACAACTGGTCCAAAAGGTGAAAAGGTAAGTGAATGTTTTCACACCGTGCTTTTCTCTCCTTCATTAAAAGTGTATGGATGTGCTTAATGTGCCTTGTATTTAAGGGAGACTCATGTGGCGTGTGCCAAGGCACAACCTCTGAGGTTGAAAGTGGCCCATCTACGATAAAGGTCACAGGGGAACGTGGCCTTCCAGGACCTCCAGGCCCACCAGGAGAAGAAGTAGAGGGCAAACAGGTAAGCCTGACTATTTTATGATCGCTTTATATAATAGGAGGCAAGGGTGGTGTGTTGCTTCTAGTGTATCAGTCTATACATTTTTAATTTGAGAAGCCCAAACACACTGACCTTGTTTTCAAAATGGATGTCTCAACAGGGGCCACCAGGTCTTCAAGGTCTTCAAGGAGAGAAAGTAAGTTAATTTTTTAACTCTCCAATAGGGATTTTTCTAGGCATTAAATATGATTTTTATGTTTGTAGGGTGATCAGGGTTTACAAGGAGACCCAGGTGTGGATGGGGTACCTGGACCCCAAGGACCTCAAGGAGAACCAGGCAGGAAGGGCCGTAATGGACTAAAAGGAGAAAAGGTCACTGTCACGCAACATTGATCATGCGGTCACATATTAATTACATTGCAGTAAACTATGCACCATCATGGGATATTTTAACAATCATTCATCATGTTGATATAATAGATTACCTTTTATATGACTGCGTTTCAATTTGCAGGCAAAAAAATGCCAGATAAGCGTGGTTGACCATCTAGATTCCAGCTCACTTGCAATTTGAAAGCTTTCTGTCTTTTCTTATTGCATCTGTGTCTACATCGCCAGGGAGATGCGTGTGACAGTTGCCCCTCACTCTCTGAAGGAAATGGCAATGTTGTTGGCTTACCAGGACCCAAGGGAGAGAGAGGAGAGCCAGGTTTGCCACTCGAGGGCCGAGAAGGCAAACAGGTACGAGTTTTTCTGTAAAAATGCATGCTTTCTCAATAAATTAGTGATACTCTTTCATATAAAACTACTCTTCAAGTAGTTCTATATGACTATTGCACAAACCAAGTCCTAACTCCAAATATTCAACTTAGGAGCACACAATTTGTGTTACATATATGACTGATACTTCAAATCATGCAGCTTGTTGAGGAGAGGTTCACTTTTCTAAGCAATTGAACTTGTGATTTTGGCTTAGCAGTTGATATAATGAAAATAAAACGAATGTAACTTCTATGATAATATTGATAGTACTTAGTTAAGATGCCATTTAGCAAATAAATGTGATTAATAGGGTTGTAAGGATACATTGATATGGATATGGATCAATGCATTGATCAAATGGCTAACAATATGAAATATCAATTAAATATTCATGTTATATTTTGGATGCATTTGTGAGTTAATAAAATATAACTGCTTGTGTAAAATGGGCACATAATACCATATTATCTTTATTCTATAGGGTCGGCCAGGCCCACCTGGTATCAAGGGACCTCCAGGACTCAAAGGCAGTCAGGTAAAGTTGTACACACATGTGCATGCATCAGTCACAACTGTGTGCGAGAGTGTTAAGATTGACTGTGGAGTGATGCTTATGTTTATTTATTATTAGGGCAATGCTGGTCCTTCAGGTATTGGCCTTCCAGGACTGCAGGTGAATGAACAGCTATTGTAATCCCTCAGAAAATCTGTTTTCATATATACTATTTTTAGAGAAATGTGTAGGTCTCAGTTGCATTTCAATTATCCCTTAAATGCACCAGCTCTTTGTAATGTTTTGATGTTCTCACTCAGGGTGAGCAGGGACCGAGAGGTTTTCCCGGAGCTGCTGTAAGTGCACAAAAAGTATTGTATTCTTGGGTGTTCACACATGGATTTGTCCCTCTGAGTGTGCACATATGCAGATGTTGTTCTCTTTGAATTGTCTGTATTTTTACTTGTCTACTGTTATTTGATACATACACTACTGTTCACAAGTTGAGGTTGGTATTGATTAAAATACAGTAAAACAGTTATGTTGTGTAATATTATTAGAATTTAACTGTTTAACTGTTTTCTATTTGAATATATTTTAAAATGTAATGTATCCCTATGATGGCAAAGCTGAATTTTCAGCATCATTACTCCAGTCTTCAGTGTCACATGATCCTTCAGAAATCATCCTAATATGCTGATTTGATGCTTAAGAAGCATTTCTTATTGTTATCAATGTTGAAACAGTTGTGCTGCCTAATATTTTTGTGGAAATTATGATACATTTTTCAGGATTCATTGGTGAATAGGAAGTTCAAAAGAACAGCATTTATTTGTTATAGAAATCTTAAGACATTATAAATGTCTTTACTGTCTCTTTTGATCAATTTATAGCATTCTTGCTGAATAAAAGTATTATTTTCTTAAAAAAAGATTTTAAAAAATCTTACTAACCCTTTTGAACAGTAGTGTATGATACACAATAATAAATAAAACAACCCCCTCAATATAGAAACCAAGTGTGAAAACAGTCATGTGTATCCTACAGGGTCCAGAAGGACGTCAAGGACCCGCAGGGCCAATTGGACCAGCGGGACAAAGGGTAGATCACTAATGCAATAACACACTACTCCTCAGTCCAAAAGACACAATGGATCTGACAATGGATAGACAATGGATCTGACCTCACTGCTGTTCCAATGTATTGCTTTATATCAATAGGGTCCAAAGGGAGAAATGGGACCACCAGGGCCACAGGGGCCAATGGGAATAGGATCAATTGGACCCCCGGTAAGAACTTGAGATAAAACTTAGACAACAAAGTTGTCCCCAGTCATAGGGACAGACAATTTTTAAGTTCTTGCTCTTTTCTTTACATTTAATAACTGAATGCAATTATGGATTTACATGATGTCTTTTGCATAAAAAAATTATGCAAGAAAAGTTCATATTTCATATTAAGTATGCTGTTATTCATAATCATGTTCACAGTATACTATTTCATATAATACAAAATAGGAAGTGTAATGAGACACAGCCAGTGTGTTTTTATTTTTTGTCTTGCACTTGTAAATGATTTATATATTCTGTGTCACAGGGTAGGGATGGTACACAAGGATTTTCTGGGATTCCAGGTCAGGATGGGAGTTCTGTAAGTTTGTTTATTTATTTATTTAGTCCTCTCCAGCAATGCTTTGCTCATCCCCTCTAGCTTATTCCCATATTGTGACATGCACTCTGTCATTAACAAATTCACCCAAGCATATTGTCCGTAGTTCATTGCTCTGCCATCTAGAGACGGCATCAAACAAACTTTCATAAACTGCAGAGACAAAGGCAGCGAGAGTTTGTTGTCTTGCCAGAGCTCGTCTCATTAAAAAAGCAAAGTTAGCATTGTCTGTTCTCACATCAGATGTTAATTACTTGAGGCTTTGTCGCAGAGAGCTTGAGGAGCGAAGCCAGAGACAGACTCGGGTCATATCTGACTCTGCCTGGATCCCTAACAGCAACACATTGTCAGCTTGCATCACGTCACCTGTCGCTGCTCCTCCCCGATCCACACTCATCTCGCTGGCCCTGAAGAGTTACACACAATAATACTGTCTAACTGAGCCTTTATGTGTGTGTGTGTTTCTCCTTGTCTTTCAGGGAGCCACTGGGCCTAAGGGTGACAAGGTAAGTGCCTGGATCAGTGAGCTGGGGAGGCGATTTCTAGGTTCCCCGAAGCAGTGACAATGTGTGTGTGAAGGGAACGATGAATAGGAGGAGTAATGTTTAGAGCCACCGTCTGTACGCACAGTGATGTGTCCACCCTGGAGACACAAACAGATGCATAAGTCTGACAGAAGAGTTTGACAGTGCTGAAAAAGTTAAAAATGCCCTCGAGCTAAAACAGGGCTATTAATTGGTGAATATAACAGCTGTCATCTGTAATCTGACAACATCACCGAGTATCAAAGAGAAAGGAAGTGTGCGTGAGGGAGAAGAGAAAGAGAGACCTCGATAGAAAAGCCCTGGAAATGCTTCATTCTTTAATGTCCTCTGTTGTCTCCCTGACTAATTTGTCTAAACACAGAGGAAAGTGGCAGCTGATATCAAATGATGCATATTCTTCCTAAGTGTGATGAAGTGCTCTGTCATTCCTGTTGAGTGCCAGGATAGAATTCTACAGCAGAACCTTTTGTAATTTCGACGTCATGCCATGTTGCAACACAATGTAACATGCTTGTGTGTGTGTGTGTGTGTGTGTGTGTGTGTTTGGACCATGGGTATTATAGTTAACTAAAAATAAAACTGAAACTTAAATTAAAACATAAATTAATATATATAAAATTTCAAATCTTATTAAAAAAAATCAACTAATCTTATTTTAATTTAGTTTAACAGCATGTACTAAAATAACTATACAGACAAATATGGAAAAAAAACTACTAAATTTACAAAAACACAAACAAATCACAAAATATCTAACTAAAATGAAAATGGAAAATAAAAAAAATTTAAACTGATTGAAAATATTAGTAAAAACTATAATAGTATCTTAATGTTACTGCTTGGTACTGTAATAAGGGAATTATCACTATAATTATTCCAAATACTAATTGGTTTGAACTATTTATTATATTTATACTTCTCAACTGTCAAATTTCATTACATTAAAATATTATTATTATATTTTTAATGATCAGAAGTTCATTTTATTATTTGTTATTGTTATTATTAATAATAAATCAGTATGCATTAATTTATTAATAATAATATAATGCTTATAATTTCTTTTATAGTCTAAATGGTTATTTAGTTTGTCAAAAAGCAAAAATAAATCAACAATAAAAATGGATATTGGTTATTAGAAACAAATATCTTCTGTATCATATTCATACATGTTCTATATCTTAGTTTTGCTGAGTTGTGGTGCTCTCTTTTAGTGTAGATTGAATATATTTAATTTAAATAAATAATTAGTTCCAATAAGAAAACATAAAAACCATTTAGAATACTTTAGCAACCACATAGCATCACCCTGGAAACAATCTAAACTAGTTATGGCAGTTTACTTAGAAAATGTCCAACTCACTATAATCAAATTGTTTTGTTTTTTTTCTGCATCGTAGGGTGAACCAGGAGAGTGCAACTGTTTGAATAATATGTCCCCTGGAACTGGCGGACCTGTGAGCTAATGCTTTATTTTTATTTTATAATGCTTTATTATCAGGAGGACATTAGCACACTCTCACACATAAACAACTCAAAGAATTTGGGCTATTAAACATAACCTTTTAAATCATGAGACCTGATGTCATTCACAGTGCTGAATTTGATTACTCTTTTCTTGCAGGGGGTCCCAGGTGGTGAGAACAGGTGGCAGTCTGGTCCTCAGGTCTCACTTCCTTTTTCACTCTTTATCTCCCTTCTGCTGCTTAAATCACTGCATTTTGAGAAGTTTATTAAAAAACAAAAAACTAGCAATTACAATAGGGTTTCAGGGCTACACTCTACTAATAGAGACATAAAAATAAATCTGAGAGTTATTGTGACTTTTTTAATGAGTAATGAATGACTGTCTTCTTACTTTACTCATGTGCTTAATGTGCCTTAGGGGCCTCCTGGACCACCAGGCCCTCCAGGTCCCCCAGGGCCACAAGGCTTTACAGGAATCCCCGGCCCACACGTGAGTATGAAACAGATGGCATCAGGGCATACCTCTGCTTTTTCTCTCTGTTCCTCTATCCTGCTCTCTTTGTGGGGCTTCTGTATCGGGAAGGCCTGCATGGGTAACTCTGGGCTTGAACTAAAGCATATTTAAATGCACCAATAATGTTTACATTTAAAACATATGTTAATTTAGCAAATAATGTTTAACACCTAAAGCTGCCATCAATTAAATGTAATGTAATGTAAATGTAATATCATGCAATTGTAATGTAGTTTGTAAAAGAGCGCTATATTAAAAATTGCTGTTAAATTTGCACGCTTTAAAGGGGCTTCTGGGATTTTTGGATAGTGTCGTGGGATGTGCTTTGTTAATGCCTGTGCTTTTAAAAGTTAATGTAAAGTAAATGTAAATTTTAATGTAGATTGTAAAATCTAGAGCATTAATGTGTAGTTAAAATACTGCGCAAAAATCTGAATTCAATGTAATCTTAATACATTCATTTAATAAGTATTTGGGGATCATGCTGCTTTTTTCTTTTTAAAAACCATCCAGAAGCTCACTGTGAGGTTGCAGTATTTAAATCAATTCCATTTGATATCTTTATAAGTTATGTTTTAAATATACAATGTGATACAATTGTGATGGTATTTAAGCCCATCATCATTTAAATCACCCTGATAAACTGGCAAATTTCCTTCTATATGATCTCACCGTGAGCGCTGAGTGGTCTTTAACCTGGTGTTGTGTTGATTTCCCAAGCCTCAGAAGAGCTGAGAATAAAAAATAGACAGAGAAAGGCAAGAAAAAATGTAAATGTCTACTCCGAGCTGGAACACAAACCAGGAGAGGGTCCAGGGCTTTGGCTACTTTCCCTCTGCCCCGCTGGAGAAGGAGGTGTCCAGATTGTGGCCACAGGCTAAACCAATTCAACCTCAGTTCCTTCTTACAGGGTATCCCTGGCAACGATGGCGTACCAGGGAAACCGGGTCCACCCGGCCAAGCAGTGAGTAACCAGACAGGGGGAGGAGCTTTATTACAGTATATAAACACAGAGCAAGGAGCCTGGTTGGTTGACTTCTGCGTTACAAGGGGAGCGGGTCGGGCCTCCTTTAATGCAGTGCAGGGAGACGGAGGTGATTCATGAGGACAACAGCAACTTTTTTATAATACTAAAAGGAACCAGTAAGCATGCAAGGATCTTAACTCGGCATTCCGTGAGGCATCTTGGTTGTCCTTTATGGCCGCCGAAGCTCCCATTACCCTTTCAGAGTTAACTCACAGTCTCCTAGGCTTTGTGTAATGGTAAACACTGCCATTGTTTTGAGTTACAGTTAGGGCGGCCATTACTGTGAGTGATGTTCCGTACAGAAAGAGCCATTAGATCTTTGGTTGAAAGCAGGATTTCGGCATTAATGGCCCCGTCTCTCCGCACGCATATTTTCTCAGCTGGCTAAAGGCCCATCCTGAAATCAGAGCTCCGGGCTTCCAGCCTGCAGCGGAAATTTGGCTGGACTTCAGTCCCGGGCCGCTTTGCTCCACTTCTATCAGCAGACGCCGACCACCGAATTCTTCCAGAGCACAATCAGATCTAAACCATGTTATTATTTTAACTTTTATTTTAACAGACCACGCGAACAGCTTAATCCCAAAACGAGTTTATTAATGCACAAATAAATTCAGTTCTATAGCGCCAAAAACACGAAATAGTTAAATTAAATAAGAGTAACGAATAACATTAGGAATTCAAAGGGTTCTATTAAATAACTAAAAGTGCAAACGGTGACCAATTTCCATATTAAAACCTTAATTACAGTAGATTAGATTGGATGGCGTAAGATGAAATGAAGCCACTTTACTGAGATGTTAAGAGCCCAAACCAGCCAGTAGTGAGAGGAAATGATGTACTTGAAGCACATCAGTATCTACCTTTAAGAGCATCTGAGAGCCGCTCTCATATTCGGTCAAGTTCTCTGGTTTAACTGTAGTTAGAGTAATATTTCAGTCCTCTATACAAAAAGGGCCAAGTGCATATAAAATATATTGGTTCGAGTTGAAGTGGAATTTGAGTTGAATTTTTACAAATGCTTTAAAATACTCTGGGGATTCGTTACATACTCCACATATAGGGTTCCATTATATCACATTGTGGGTGTTGAACAGTGAAGTTTAGTGTTTTTGTCCTTCTGAAAGTCTTTTGTGCTATGAAACTAATGCTTTTTAAAGTAGGATGTGAAAGTAACTTCTTACCCATGCTGTGAATGGCCAGCTAGCACAATATTTTAACCATAATTAATTATATTTTAATTTACATGTTTATGGATGCAATTAGTCAGTAAACTGTTTTGAAATGACAGCATAATAAATAATTGTAGCATAATGTGAAATAATTTATCATGTTAAATTCAGGGTTTTTTTCTGAATAATTTCATGCAAAATAGTTCCATTATTAAAATGAGATTTTGGTTATTAATGACATAATGAGATCATAACTTTACTTTCAAAGCAATGCTATTTAAAATAACTTTTAGTTTACTGCATTGCCTTGGTGTCTCCACAGTCACTTTCTTCTGAACTTCTGATGATAATCACACATTAATTAAGTTGTAGTGAAGTGAAAAAGTGTTTTTGATGCAGTCAACATGTCTGACTGTCTCCTCCATCTTGCAGCCTCCAGTTTTTCTGCCTCAGGATTCAGCTTCCACAGACACGGTAAGCAACGCATCTGTATTAACTGCACGTGTTCAGCTTATCTCTCTCTCTCTCTCTCTCTCTCTCTCGCTCTCTCTCTCTCTCTCTCTCTCTCTCTATGACATTATTAGTATGCATGTGCAAGGAAACACTGGTATTATCTGGTAATATAATGTGTACAGAAACATACACATTAGCATTGTTGGTGTGGTGTGAATAAATGTTAATTTTTCTATTCTGCCGCCAATATTGTACACATACGACAGCAAGACATCTATGCAATGCATGCATTTTCATTTGGAAGATGGATTTTTTAGTGCAGGGGTCTTCAACATTTTTGAGGCCAAGAACCCCATGGTGGATAGAGAGATGAAGCAGGAAACCCCTGTTACATATTGCATAAGATCTGAAATACGTATACAACCTTATTAAAGTATATACATAGTTTATGATTCTTACATGGCGAAGCTATTAAAAATTTATTTATTTATTCAAACTGCCATTCAAAAGTTTGGGATTGATAAGAATTTTTAGTCTCCTATGCTGAACAAGGTTGCATTTATTTGATCAAAAATGCAGTACAATGGCATGTTTTTAAATAATGTTACATTTAAAAACAACAGTTTTTATTTTATTTAAATTACATTTTAAAACATAATTAATTACAAAGCTGAATTTTCGGCACCCATTACTCCAGTCTTCAGTGTCACATGATGCTTCAGAAATCATTCTAATATATTAATTTGGTGCTCAAGAAGCATTTCTTATTATTATCAGTGATGACAGTTGTGCTGCTTGATATTTTTGTGGAAACAATAATGCATCCTTGCTAAATAAAAGTTTATGCTAAATAAAAATATATATTTGTTTAAACTCACTGACCCAAAACAAAATTAAGCTTCTTAACTTTGTTTATCTAGATACTGATTTAATATGTCATTTTTTGCAGCATAATTACATTACATCTGTGCCATAAATTAGTTTGAGCTAACCAATTATTTTAGAGCATTGTTAGTTTTAGAGCATTATAAGTTTTAGAACATTTTCGCATGTTTGCTGTTGAAAAATACATTTAAAAGACATTTGGCAGGTGCATTTAAGATGTTTAAAACTTTGTTTAGATGTTTATCAGTCAAGTCACTTAAAACATAATTTTTTATATTTTTATAATCTTTTTTCACCCATGTCTTAAGGATAAATGTGTGCCGTTTGAGCAGAAGAATATTGGTTCGAAAATCATTTATTTTGCAAACCCTAGTGTTTTGGCTTTGAAACCTTGTACATTCTTTAAGCTGAGGTTATTTGGATTCTTGCATTCCTGCTCTATCAAGCTGGAATGTGAGAGCACAGTTTTTACTGTTAATAAAATATCCCATGATTAGATTTCACACACACCTTCCTCAGTCTGTCTGTACCTTCTTACTCTTTAAGGCAGCAATACTATTCACTTGTAGCTGCATGCAGATGCTGTGTTTTCATTGTTCATTTGCTTCTTGCAGTGAGTACACATGTGTTTGTGTCATGTGTATGCTTCACTGTAGGAGGGCTGTGGTGATTGCTCCACGGGCCTACCTGGTGTGCCCGGCAAGGTTGGCTCTAAAGGCGAGAAGGGAGATCAGGGCAAGCCTGGGGTTGTACCCTCAGAAGGATGCGAACGGGTGAGAGGGATGAATGATGGATGATGTGATTGGTATTAGACAGGGTGTGGGTTTGTGTTGATAACATTGATTTGTTCACTTGTTTTATGCTTTCTGTTTGGCATGCTGTTTGATTTCTACAGTCGTTTTGCACATGCTAGAATATATATAGTACTAAACCTACTAAATCTCTATGATCAACTTCACAGTGTCTACAGCCTCAGAGACCACAGAGAGAAGAAACACCAAGTGTGCCTGTAAGTTCCCTATCGCATAAAACAGTGATAGGGAAGCATCCCAAGCTACAAGCTACTCACTCTGTATAATATCAGTCTTCAGTCTTTATATGCAAGTCAAGATATTTCAAGTGTACCTTGCAATGTATGCTTGCAATAGTTCCAGTTTAGCACAATCAAATATACTTCATTATATCTTTAGTTGGACTTCAGCACTACTTCTGCACAATTTAAGTGCATTAAGGACAAAATTAGTTGTTTCAGTTCAGCAGACTTGTATACCAGACTTGTATACCAGTTCAGTATACTAAAAGTACAATTGCAGGGTATTTTTATTAAGCACATAAATATGTAAATGTATTCATATTACGCTTAGCACAAAATAAATGCATTTCAAATACATTTTAGTATATAAAACTAATGGAAGCTACTATCATGGTATTGAAAATGTTATTATTTGTGTTTCTCTTCAAATTGTCTTAAGCATTTCCTGATTGCAACCCTTCACGTCTGCTCAATGTTTTTAGACGAGTAACAGTGGTCAGTGCGTTGGTGCACCAGGGATGCCTGGATTCCCAGGGGACCCAGGGGTCAAAGGAGAGCCGGTGAGAGACCTTGCTGAGTTTCATTATTACCAGTGCCTATTAGAGAGGATACAAGAGCTCTGCTGCAAAGTCTAACTGTTGAAACTCTAACAACACAATACTATAATAATAATATTATAAGCCAATATATAGCACACTCAAATTCTATTATTCTGCCCCCAATTCTATAACAGATTTGTGTTATCAAAGGCTTAGGAATAATCTGAAAAGGTGGTGGACACATTTATAAAACCTTATCATCTTGGCTCATGAATATTAATTAGGTGATGTAATGTGTGTCCTGTTGTCCTAACTGATTTGCTTGAAGACAAGTAGGTGGGCGCTAGGCATACTGTAGTAGGATTACTTCACACCGCCTTCACTTTCATTCAGTCCACTGCTGATGCAACCAGTTGGCAGAGACTTCTGCCTGGTCTTAGTCATCGTCGTCAGCTACTATTTCAAAACAGAATCAAAACAAACATTTATATTCAACATAGAACTTGCTCCACATATAGGTACAATGTGGCCATAACATTGTTTTTCTGCATCTGAACTGGCATTTAGGTACAGTATATTTACACAGACTCTTTAGAGGTGGTGTGAATGCATTTACACTGCACTTAGAATAGCATAAATAATGCTATGAAATTAATGGGTTTTTACATGGGTTTAGAAATTAATATTGAAGTAGCTGATTCGTTCAGAAATGAAGCAAGTTACTGTCTTTATGAATGGGTCACTGAATCATTGGTTCACTCGATTCGTTCAAAACCATGGATTTATTCAGTAATGAAACAGCTGGGTTTTTCACCCAGAAATCACAATCACACTGTTCTTTTGTGGCTTTGTTTGAATCCATTTAAGTTGGCAAAACTGAGCAAAAACAAACAATATTTTAACACAATATTCATTGAACTGCTATAATTAAATGTTAACACATTTTTTTCATAGTTAATCGCATCAAATTAACATGTTTTATATACATATATATATATATATATATATATATATATATAGCCCCAGTTATAATGCTATATAACATTATCCTTGTCTCTGTTCATTGTAGGGTCCTAGAGGTGAGCGAGGACCTCCTGGTCTTCCTGGAACCCCGGTAAGTTTCTACGTTGCCTGTTATGCCCCAGATTGTCTCCTAAAAGGTCAGTTCTAGCAGGATTGCCTTTTTAACCCTCTTTTCTTAGAAACTGAGACAGTGACAGCAACCACAGATGGCTTTCAGAGTACAGTCTGTATCATATAGAGACAAACCAATGCTGAGCACTTAGTACAGCAAACAGTGAAATGTTCTGCATGACTTCATCTAGTCACTAACATTTAATCCCACAATGCAGTGTTTGTTTGCATGATCCATTTTGTTTTAGGTTCAGTGTTTTCAGTTAGAATGGACCAATACTGGAGAACAGTGTATTTATTACTCTTTGCTGTGAGGTTAGAGAGGCCCCTACTGTTTTGGCTCAGAATTGCATAATGGTTTCCAAAATAGTCCCAAACCTACGCCTAAACTAATTTCAACATGGAAATTAAGACTTTGTGTCCATTTAAACTTGTGTGCACTGGCTTGGGAGGATTCTTTTTTAATTTTTTTGAAAATAAATGTATGCTTTTTGTTTTTGCTTTTTGATTTCAAGAATATCAACTACAAAGGATTCCAGGTCAATAACCTTAACCCTCAATAGCTCAATATCAATTACTACTCTGAAAACAAAAAGCAACAAACTCACTGAAACCCACTGAACGTTGATCGTGATCCACTTAGTATTGTGCAGTGAACCACACAAGTAGTTTTTTGGTTTTCAATTCTGTTGAGTAGTACAGTTTTGTCACACTTTACTAGTACCAATATTCAAAACCAAGTAAAACAGGCTGCATGACTATGAAAAAAATTATTGGGATGCATGTGTGACAGGATTGCTTTTTTTGTTTTTGTCACCTTTATTTATATAGCGCTTTTAACAATACAGATTGTGACAAAGCAATTACTATTATAAAGGAAAATATTTCTAACTGTTGCTCTCTTATCATCATTCTTTTATAGGGCAATATTGGTTTCCCTGGTCCTCAAGGGCCTCCTGGACTGTCTGTAAGTCAAAGCATGCCAACTCACGATCAGCTCAGACAAACACCGTAGATGTTTAATTACCTCAGGAAGCCAGCCCATCTTCTCTCGTGTGCCCCAATGAATGCCATGACAGAGAAATAAAACTGTACTGCTGTGGTGCTTGTTCAATTATCGCTCCATAGCCATTGTGTATGTGCTGCTGACAGGTTATTTTGCAACGCCTTGAACGGCATGTTTTAGCAGAGGTGTGGGCTTACTGATGAATTGAGTCTGAGCCAGAATGGATTTTATTTTAATGTTGTCCAGCTTTATGCTTTGTGAGCTTTATCTGACTTTCTTTAATTTGCTTCAATCGAATCTGTTTGAAACAACAAACTCAGATTTTGTGCAGTTTTTTTTCTTTTCCTATTAGCACGGAAAACTGAAAATAAAGATTTACAGTAGGCCAATGTTTTCCAAATTGACATTTTCTGTGGAATTGATCCACTAATAGAATGATATATAACTGAACCGCTGAGGAGACAAGATTCAGGAAAATAACAGAAGGACATTGGCAAAAGAGACAGCCAGTGGAGGGATACTTTTTTCTTATTATTTAAAGATGAAGCCAAATACTCCCTCTTCTATTTCCGTTTAATCTGCAGAGACAACTGTAAGTGAGCGATTATTAAGTTCCTGAAGAGTCAAACACTGGCTCTGTGACAATTTCACAACTTTGTTTGTTGGAGTGGTCTGGCTCCTGTTTAATTACCTCAGGAAGCCAGCCCATCTTCTCTCGTGTGCCCCAATGAATGCCATGACAGAGAAATAAAACTGTACTGCTGTGGTGCTTGTTCAATTATCGCTCCATAGCCATTGTGTATGTGCTGCTGACAGGTTATTTTGCAACGCCTTGAATGGCATGTTTTAGCAGAGGTGTGGGCTTACTGATGAATTGAGTCTGAGCCTGAATGGATTTTATTTTAATGTTGTCCAGCTTTATGCTTTGTGAGCTTTATCTGACTTTCTTTAATTTGCTTCAATCGAATCTGTTTGAAACAACAAACTCAGGTTTTGTGCAGTTTTTTTTCTTTTCCTATTAGCACGGAAAAACAGAAAATAAAGATTTACAGTAGGCCAATGTTTTCCAAATTGACATTTTCTGTGGAATTGATCCACTAATAGAATGATATATAACTGAACCGCTGAGGAGACAAGATTCAGGAAAATAACAAAAGGACATTGGCAAAAGAGACAGCCAGTGGAGGGATACTTTTTTCTTATTATTTAAAGATGAAGCCAAATACTCCCTCTTCTATTTCCGTTTAATGTGCAGAGACAACTGTAAGTGAGCGATTATTAAGTTCCTGAAGAGTCAAACACTGGCTCTGTGACAATTTCACAACTTTGTTTGTTGGAGTGGTCTGGCTCGACCTGTGATGTGAGTTTAGAACGGACTGCTTTCATTAATCATTCTTAAATTAAATTAAAGTTAAACCAGTGAGATCAAATCCACCTGCTAAACATAGCAATGCACTTAATGATTTAACACCCATGAAGCAGATCTGAGACTTTCAAACCTGCTGCCGGCAACTCTTAAATTCATTATTATTATTTATGCAGTTGTATTTTTCTTAAGGGAAAGTCTTTATGATGTTGAAATCCATTTGTCCTTGACCTTGCTGAAAATCCTCAGAAAAAAAAGAATGTTTTCTTCCCACAGGGTGCAAATTTACTTTGTTTTTCTCAGTCGATTTTAACGAAGGTCAATGCATTTAGAAAGAGTCAAATATTATTAGTATGAGAACAGTCTGTCTGGGAATATTATTTCATTACTGTTTCGATCTCTATGTTAACTGCGCTTGACTGGCAGGGTCCTAAAGGGGAAGCTGGAACAGCGGGACCCGTGGGACCAAAGGGAGATCAGGTATGAAATCATGTTACTGATATATTGACAACAATTGTTCTCTTATGTTTTTATATATGTCATATCTCTTGATATCACATTCTCATGATACCTTATTCTTTGATATTACACTATGTAGAGCAAGATGTTCTGTTTGCGTCTTCAAATTTACAAGCCCAAGATCTAAGAAGTGTGCTAAACATATACCTGTTTTTTTTCCCCTGGAAAATAAATATTTATAACATTGTGTATTTACTCAATAAATTCCCAGGTGGAACATCTTCATTTTGTTGTTGTGATTACAATTTGCAGTGCGCATAATAACAGTTCTTGCATCTTTTGTTTACAGGGCTTCCAAGGATCTCAAGGATTCCCAGGACAACCGGTAGGACTTCAGTCATTATCAGTCATCTTTCTGTCATAATTTCCCCTACTGTTTCACGCAAAAAAATATCACATTATAGAAGTGAAATGGATTCCAAAATGCAAATAATTTTGACTTTAATTCTGAAATAAGCCTCATTTCTCTGAATATGCTAATGGAACAAGCCAGATGTCTTACTGTTGCCTTCGTGTCTCCAGGGTCCTCCAGGTTTCCCAGGAAAAGCAGGTCCTATGGGCCCTCCGGGGCCACAAGCTGAGAAGGCAAGTGACAGTACTATAATGCCTGAACATGCATTGATAAATGAAATTATACAACATAGTGACATTCCCCGCTCATGCTGGAAATAAATCCTTACGTGAGCAATGACATTTGATAAATTACTTATCATTTGCATTCATATACTTTATCACTTATGGTCACTTTCACAAGCAAGCGCTCTGACATACCATGCTTTAGTCATAAAATGGCTTGACTTGTGGATTTCAGATGCTTCTCTATCATGCACTCACCCTTACTTTATCTTAGGGTGGTGCTGGAGTTCAGGGCCAACAGGGACCCACAGGTCCCCCAGGATCTCCCGGGTCCCCAGGCATGCCTGTGAGTCTCAGAATCCTCTGAATAGACACATTTATAGCAGCCATTCAGCCTATCTAGTGTCTGTACACAATTAAAACTTTCACAAAGTAATCATATTGTTTTGTATTTTGTACTTGTTTAAAGGGGCCACCTGGGATGGAAGGACTTGATGGCAAAGATGGAAAACCAGGTTTAAGGGTCAGAAAGATAAAAATAGTATAACCACACATATTATATTATAGTATTACAAAAAAAAAAAAATATATATATATATATATATATATATATATATATATATATATGTGTGTGTATGTATAATGTGTATAATATATATAATGTGGATATATGTGTATCTCCGTTTCTATCTTATTTTCTGTCTTTACTATTTCTAACTGTGTTTTATTCTCACAATTAAACAGGGTGAACCAGGAGTGCCTGGCCCTGCTGCACCCAGGGGAATGCCGGTATTAAACGTGCCATATTTTCTTTCTTTGTTTTCACTTTCCAAGTTCTTTGTAGATTTTATCAGTGACACATGAATACCAAAATCAACAGTTGGAACAAAGACTGAAACAAAGAACAAAGTCAACATTAATTAGGCATCTCCAAGGAGGAGCTTGACTTGACTTTTCTCTGATTGGAAAAGGCTTACTTGTTGGATAACGGTTTCTCATTCCAGGGTTTCAAGGGCATCAAAGGGCACACAGGTCTCCCAGGAATGAAAGTACGAGGCTTTTCTTTGAGTTTCATAGCCTTGTCATTATTTCTATTTGAAATGTGTAGTGCATAAATGAATAAAAAATGACTATTTCCATTGATCCTGTCTTTAAACTGATGCCTGTAATGTTTTTGATGTTCAAATACTTTCTCTTAATGAGCAAAGACAACTACAAAAGTAACATTGCATTTTCACATTGTTCTGTGTGTCTGAATTGCTCTACATGCAAACTTTGAGCTCAGTCTGTGGTGTTTGGTAGTTTGGAACAAGACAATTTGCTATCCCAAACAATGGGAAAACATTTTGGAAACAATCATTCTTTTTTGTCATCCATTTGGCACTTCCAATGATGCAGAGATTACACACAACAGTCTATATTTTTACATACCTCTTTTGTCTTTTAATCTACATCACCCACTCTTCATTGTTCTCTGTAGGGAGATAGAGGACCTCAGGGACCTGCTGGAGCTGCAGGAAGGCCTGGTCTAGAGGTAGGCTGTCTTCTGTTAGATATATTACCACTGAACCTTTAAATGTGCTATAGATTTCCTTACAAATGCTCTATAGATTTCAGATAATGAAATAATGCTTTGAAAATAGGTTTCTGCACCCTTAGACCATTAACATACTTCGTAAGCAAACACGGATACAAATGCTTGGCCAACTTATTGCAAACGCGTGATCCCATTGTACAAACCTAATATGTGTTGTCATGTTACTGTGGCAGTAACAAACCTCAATACGTGAGATAGAGTTGACTCTTTTTTGTGCCAAGCCATTTCAAAGTTCTATCCACAGAGTGGAGATGAAGAGACATACTTATGTTTATAATATCTAATATATTCAGGAATATTCTCTTTAAATGGTTGCTCCATTAGTTAGAAGACAGTTAACACTTATGTCCATAATATAATATTACATGGTTTCCTTTACGGCAACGCTGAGAACTTACAGTATTCGCGTTGTGCTTTAAATTGTAAATTGACACACATGTCTTTTTTACACGACACAACTTTTTTACTCACATTTTAGGGAGATCCTGGTCCTTCCGGACCACAAGGACCACCTGGAGCTCCAGGACATGTGGTAAGTATTTAAAATATCTTGTAATCTACACATTTTTGGGTTTGTACATTACCATTCAACAGTTTGGGGTTGGTAGGATTTTTTTTTTAATATATTTTGAAAGATGTCTCTTGTGCGCACCAAGTCTGCAGGAATTTGATCAAGAGAACAGTAATATTGTGAAATAGTATTAGAATTTAAAATAGCCATATTCTAATTGAAAATATTTTAAAGAGTAATGTATTTCTGTGATGGCAAATTAGAATCATTATTCCAGTATTGAGTGTCACATGATCCTTCAGAAATCATTTGATTATGCTGATTTGGTGTGTTGAAAAAACAGTTGTTATTTTAGGATTCTTTGATGAATAGAAAAAGCAAAAATTACTAAAATAATTTATTTGAAATATATAAATATTTTGTAACATTGTAAATGCCTTTACTTTCACTTTTGATCAGTTTCATGCATCCTTGCTCAATAAAAGTATTAATTTCTTGACAACAAGACATTTTACTGACCTCAAAGTTTTGAATGGTAGAGTACAGATAAACTACTTGAGAATATGGTAAATTAACACTTTTAACTGGAAATGTCTAGGGTGCTGCTGGATCTTCAGGACCACCAGGACCAATTGGGCCAGCTGGAGTGGTGAGCAAAAGTCTTCTAAAACAAATAATATCTCAGAGATGTTTTTAATCGTTTGAATGCTTTACTGTATCTTCTTGTTCTTTACCAGGGCATTAAGGGAGACAAAGGTGAGGCAGGAGAGAGAGGACAGTCTGGATTACCTGGCCCACCAGGGCTCCCAGGACATCCAGGGCTGATGGTTAGTACCTAAAGTTGGTTTACCATAATATTTATATGAATAAATATTTATAGTGTCTAATTAAATTATTCTTTTAAACCTTTTTCTGTCCCTGTTTTTTTATTTTCTGTAGGGTGAACCGGGAAGTGATGGAGCAGCAGCTAAAGATGTAAGTATCTCCTTTGATTTGCTCCTGTATACAACTTTTATGCACAGTATTCAACTTAATAACAATATTCAAATAATTCCAAAGAACCTGTCTCCACTTTGGTCTGAAAAAGTGTTTATTTGATCGTTGGACATTTATAACTCTGCTAAATTACTTTTATTTGGACATGCACAGATAAAAAATGTATAAGCAGTTACAGTGTAATTAGGTGTTTACACAACACAGACTTGTGAATAACAAAGATAACTCCCAGCTGGAATTTTGGCTTAATTGGATTATTAAAATCTGGTTAAAGCAATTATATTGAAACATTCAAAATCGAAATGAGACCAAATTCTGGTTGATATTGCAATGTGTTTGCACATAGACCCAATGATTATTACTGCAAAACTTCTACTATTTGTCCCAGTTTCACTCCTGTAATTATTTGTAACCGCAGGGAGCCCCAGGCCTGCCAGGAGAAACTGGTCCACAGGGACAGAAGGTAAGATGCATTGTTTTCACATCTCTGTTATAATGTCTTTGCACCATTGAACGCTGACATCTTTTCACATGCATTTGGATACATCTTATTCAGGCATAAGAGAGAGTTCTCCCCTCCCATCGAAGTGTGCTCAACACATCCTGTTTTTGTGCTTACATTTGTTCAATGAAGTTGTCAGGTGGCTCCATCTGCAATCACAAGAGCATGTTATCTAACCTCACTTTGCCTTCACTCTTTTGTTTTTTCCTCCCTCATCTGCCACAGTAGCCTGTTTGAACACCACTCTCAGCTTACATAGTGACACCATTATGCTCCATAATAAAGCTATAGAGGAGCCTCTACCTGTCACTGTGACAGGACAGCATTGTCAGGCTTTTGAAGTTTAGGTGTGAATGAGATGAGAGCTGTGCTTTTCCCTCGACCCATTAGCAGAAGCCCTTAAATGTGTAAACAAGTGACTTGCTCTATATCAGGGGTGGTGAATGTCGGTCCTGGAGAGCCGCAGCCCTGCAGAGTTTTGCTTCAACCCTAATCTAACACACCTGAACAAGCTAATCAAGGTCTGAAGGGTTACTAGAAAGCTACAGGCAGGTGAGTTTTAATTAGGGTTGGAGCTGTACTCTGCAGGGCTGCGGCTCTCCAGGACCGGAGTTCGCCACTGCTGCTCTATATAGACTGCTACATGTACAACATTAGTGTTGGGAATGCTACTTGTAAAGTATTAAAAATATCCAACCTTACAATCCCTTAGCAAAAAGTAGCTAGCTACATTGAAGATATTTTTGGGGCAGTGTCTTTTTTTAAATATGTAACTATTAGCATTAATTAGCATTTTAACCAATACAATTAGACAACACTGTAATTTATATAAGTAAACTGAAAACATAACAATAAACTGCATAAACTATATATATATATATATATATATATATATATATATATATATATATATATATATATATATATATATATATATATATTAAAAAATAGAAATATTTCATTTAAAAATGATAAATAGCAAATAAATAATGCTAAAATATCACTGCTCAGCTACTTTGAGTTCAATAGAGTGTGATTTGGTAAATTAATAAAAAATAAATGTGTTAAATGTCCAGAAGTGTTTCTGCAGATTGTATGCGTTATTCTCACGACACTTCATAAATCCAGACAAAATTCTGGGGCTAACAACAGTAAAATAGGTTTACTATTGTACGGCATGCACACTGTAAGTTGAAATTAGTTTACATGGGTAATATGGACCTTTTTAAGGAAAAAATTAAATTGTTTTCATTAAATCTGAATAAAAATGAAGCCGCAAGGTAACAGAACCTTACAATACATTGTAAGATACATTGTACATACAGAACCATGGCATGTATAATACATTGTATTGTCACATCTTTTCCCAATGTTTCCCAATTTTTTCCCCCCATGTTTTCAAAGCAAAGACAGGCTACAATACAAGCCATTAAAGCTACCCCTCACCCGTCTGCAGTCTACCCTGACTAAGCAGCATTGATTAATCAATAGCTAATTTACAAAAATTGTTATAAAAATATACATAACCAGCAGAGGGCTTTTCAGGAAGTAGAAAATCACAACTGAATGCAAACAAGAATGAAATTATTAGCCAAAACTTTAGCATTCACTGTATTCATACATGTCACCCTTATCATTAAAGAAGTAGATGGGACGGATCTTGAAGATTTTATTTTGTGGACTGTATAGTGCTGAGCATGAGTTTCTATATAAAGCCTATTATACGGTGCTATTACAGGGATCATTGAGTAGCCCGTGGTCATTGTCCTAGAATCGCCTGTGTAGTAAATCACAGCTGTTCCTTTGATCCTATCCAGGGCGAAGCAGGAGTTGCAGGGCAAAGGGGACCCTCGGGAGAGCGCGGACGTCCCGGCCCACCAGGAGGAGGCTTTGGTTTTGGCTCCAAAGGACCAGAAGGGATCATAGGACCAGTCGGACCCCGTGGCGAGAGGGGAAGCCCTGGTTCACCTGGAACAGCTGGTTCCACCGGACCACCAGGAATCCCAGGGAATGATGTGAGGCATTTTCACTCATGGTACACACTACACAGCCTGGTTAAGAGAGTTTATTAACTGACAGAAACAGTCAATGCCGCCTATAGCATCATATTGAACAGTATCTACTTTAAGAATCAATGTTTGTTTTTTTATGTTCCTTATCCACCATATTTTTTACATGAGGGTGGACATTTATAAATAAATTAGGCTTATGTTGTCATCCGCGTCCAGTTATTTTTAGTGGATGATGGAAAAGATATCTTGTTTTGCAGAATAGTAGATATATATGAGTATTTAAACTTCAAATTGTATCTATTTTTTTCCAGGCTGTTGTAAACTATGATGACTTAAGGTCCTTCATCAGGCAGCAGGTCATAAAGATCTTTGACGGTGAGAGAACTTTTGTAACCAGACATATCTGTAAGCACTAAAACTTAATTTCTAAACAGTTTATTTCACAGAGAAAATGTCTTAAGATGATTTAATTTCTTCTTCAGCCCACCACAAAACTTCACATCAGTCTTTAACGCCCTTTAGTATCTTTTAAAGCAATAATCTGAGTTAAATACAAGTTAAAATACACGTTAAAATCAGTTTGTAAAAGAAAAAAAAATGTTGACAATTTTGCACTTATAATTGAAGTCTATGGGGCAAGTGTACACTTTTAATAATTATTATTTTTTTAGGTTGGTTTTAAGTTCATTTGTTCCTGCAGAGCGTATGGGCTACTACATGTCCCGAATGCAGATGCCTGTGGAGATGGTTGCATCCCCTGGTCGACCAGGACCCCCAGGAAAAGATGGAAATCCAGGCATGCCAGGTCCCCAAGGGATACCGGGCCGCCCCGGGCAGATTGGACGCGAAGGAAGACAAGGACCCATGGGTCCACCCGGTAAGAGGAACTAATGTGCTAATGTTTCCTACATCAGGCTGATGGTCCATTTGCCCAGTCTTCCACATGGATGCTTTCATATGTGTCCCCAGGTGGCCCTGGTGTAAAGGGAGAGAAAGGAGATAAGGGTGTAGGAGAGATGGGAGACAGTGGCCCTCCGGGTGCTCCAGGTCTGAATCCAAGTTTTCAAAGCCAATTTTAAAGTGGAAGTCATTTTGCCAACTTTGTGGTATTTATTCTATTGTAATTTCCTTCCGTTCCTCTCAGGTGTTCCTGGTCCTCCTGGTTATGGTAAGATGGGACCACCAGGTTCTTCTGGTCAGCAGGGCATCCCAGGTGTTCCTGGACCTCCAGGACCATCTGGAGCGAAGGGCAAGGATGGTCGTTGCCACCCATCAGACTGTATGAGTATGCCTGTGGAGTACAATCCCAAGGGCCCACCTCCCAATAGGCCCATGTACTAGAATGTGGTTTAAGAGAAGTAAAAGATGGAGGATGGTACCCATTGATTGACATTCTCACAGTTACCTACCTGTACCTGCTAAGGCTTCTGAGAAGATCCATGGAGAACCAAAGGATTAATGTAATTTCCTTTCCGCATGATGCAATGCCGAAACACTGGTTCACCACCAATGGGGACATTTATAAGTTATCGTCTGCTGATGAACCAGTGAAGAAAGGCTAAGCATTAACTTACACCTCTACAATTTGGTGCAACATCCCAAACTTGAGTGCCGTAACCCCTAAATACTTGCCCATAATGCCACTTGCATCATTTCTGAGTTTGTGTTTTACAATTATATACTTCTAGATCCCTGGACATATAAGGTGTTGACAGTCATTACTGGTGACCAGATTTATTCAGCATTCAACATTTTTCATTTCTTTTCCAGCCCCCATAAAATATATTGGTTTCAATCTGACACTTCACACCAGTCTTCAAGGTCCTTTATTAAATATTAAAGCAATATTCTGAGTTAAATGCAAGTTAAAATCATCCATGGCATGCTGTTGATTCATGCAGGAATTATTTTGACTCATACCTCAGTTTATGAAATTTTTTTTTTGCCAGTTTTGCACTTACAACATTATTTTTAATTTTTATTTAATTTTTTTTTCAAAATGAGGTATGAACCAAAAAGATTTCCTGCAGAAAATGCCACAGATGCTGTTGCTAGGGCTTGTATTGAATCTGGAATGTTTCTTTAATAATATCTTTGTGAGGGGGTTGTTTTGGCAGCTGCTAATTTTGCTATTTAACTGCTTTAGCAAAGACATTGTGGCATAAATATCCATCTGTTTCCAGTGAATAATTCCTTCCACGGTGTGAGCCGTTTAATATTAAATAGTTTGAGTTTATCATTAGGCATAGATACAGTTACCTAATTAACTATTTTAATTATTCGAAATGAACATCCCCAAGGGCTTATGTTGTACATATTCATATGTAATGACTTTTTGTTCCTTAAAAAAAAAAAAAATGACATCAGCATGGCAGCCCTTTTTATGGTCGTCTCAGATATTTTGGAATAATTTTATAAGCTCTAAACAAATGGATGCTTTGTAAAGGTAGGTTTTATATGCAATTTTGGGTTAGAAAGCAATTTTGTGATGTATCACGGGACGGAAAGAGATTTTATTTTTATAAGAATATTTCAGTGACATGAAATATCTCTCGATGAGCTCTGTGATGACATCTCCTCCTCCATCACTCTGGACTCTTAAACTTGAATTTCCTTTGATATACTGTACCACTTGCAGCTGAACCATCATGTGCTTCTAGAACACTCTAATCTCAAATATGCTTTGCTAGTCGTCCTAAACATCCGAACCCAACCTTCAGAGTTCAGTCATCTCTAAAGCAAACAGCATCTCACTGATTCTCTGGTGCGTCAGCCAGTCTGATGCTTTTATACTCTGCACTTTATCCTCTCTTTGTCGCTCCCTCGGTCTGTGTGTGTGTGTGTCTGTGTGTGTGTGTGTGTGTGTGTGTGTGAAGATAGCGAGAAAGACTCTGTATCTATATTGGGAGGATAGCTGAAAAGTTTTTTAGCAGAGCCATTCACATTTCTCAAATTATGCAGTCAATTTCAGATCGGCCTTTCAACCTCTTTTTATCCAAGCTTTAAAAAAAATCTCCCCCATCATCATGCATCTCATCATAGTGCTATTTGTAAGTAAAGTCATTTGTGTGCAAATTTTTCTTTGAAGAAACTTAAGAGAAGCAATAAAAGTTTTGAAAGCATAGTTCTCTATGGACTTGTTCACTTGTCAGTCCCTAAACAACATATCTATCTTCAGTTTGTAACAATAGCAACAGTTTTGTATTCAAAAAGGATGACTGAAATGTCTTGAAAAACTTAGTATTGAGCACAAGGGTACAGAGTTTCCGGTTACATTTTCAACACTTTGTAAATAACAGCATATATGATGGTGAGGGCGGTGGTTTGGAAATAGAAATAAAATTGCTTATACTAAAAAGGGGCTACATTTAGTCATTTAGCAGACGCTTTTATCCAAAGCTACAATGGGCTACAATGTTGTAACCTATAGTGATCAGAATATGAATCAGTGTAATAATGTGAGAAACATGAGCTGTGTCCCAAATGGTGTACTATGCATTATGTCTTCTACCATCTGATGTAGGAGTTTTCAAACTTGGTCTAGGCAACCAAATAATATTTTATACTTATTTAGCTTTTAAATTTTAGGATGGGGTCCCTCACACGAGAATGATCCTAATCCATAATCCAAAAATTGAAAACCCCCTGGTCTAGCATGTTAATTTTCTATTTTTTCATCGAGCTTCGCAGTCCAATAGACCTTCCCATGCCTCATCTCAGTTCATCAGTTAAATAATAACTACATTAGTCAAGTATTTGAACTTACACACACACACACACACACACACACATATATATATATAT